TGCTGGTAATTTTAAGAATTTTTGGGGAGCCGCCGCTGCGAAAAAAAAAGTTTAGCCGTTGCGCCGCTGCAAGAGATTAAAAATTTTGGTAACATCATCCACCGCCGCTGACATCGATACACATGCGACCGAATCGAACATTTTTCTTTTAATTTCCATCAGCGAATTTTTAACTCAGCCGCCGCCGTCACATAAGGGCTTGCAAATATCAACCGACGCCGCCGCTGTGGAAAAAAATTTAAGAATTTATAGCAGCCGCCGCTGAAGACATTACTCATTCAAATAAAGAGCCGCTGGAAATCTTTAAAAATTGAAAATTTTTGCCCGCCGCCGCCGTTCAACCCTTCGGCTGACACCTCTACCTGTAACACCAATACCTGTAGTTATTGCTTGCTTTGTGTATGTAGCAACGATTCCATATACAATAAGTACTGCAGTTACAAAAACGCATATATTTATAATTGGCACCATGAACATCAAAGCTGGATATGACTTTCTTTTGCTTTTGGTAGCGCTATACTTCACGGTCCTAACAAAAATAATATAGTCTGTAGCGCTAGAAAATGATAGCTAAGAAATAGTTTGAAATTTTTGATCAATCAATAAATACAGATTCCTGCAATCAATCTTACTAACTTGCTGAAGTTCTTGGGTAAGGACTCGCTTTTATGCAACGCTGTTGATGTTCCAGTCGACGAATAGTGATCCACAGAAGATTTAAATGTTTCAGATGGACCCACATGTGAAGAGCGATAAATATTCATCTGCTTTTCCTTCGTACATGGAGATTTGACCTAAGAAAAGAATTTGTTAGCGTAATCTCTGCAAGATTAAAATGTGAAACACGATCTAGCTCTTGTTTAATCAAGTAAATATTGTTTTCTACGATATACCTTCGAACCCATTTATTCATCATGCTTTACTTAATCCTCTTGAATTATAATAAAACAGTGGTTGATATATAGTCGGCAACCATGTAGCAAAACGTTTGTCGTGGCCTGTGATAGCCTCTCGAGCTCATTATTCATGATCAATAATAGGTCTGGAGAAGGTGTGCATCTACTCCTGTTCTAAACTGGTAACTTTTGATGACTTTTTCCCATTTAAGAACACCATACTTGCACATATCTACATGGTAACTACTCATAATCCCACGCACACACCAAAATTCGTTGGATAGATACCACTTCTAATTTAAATTGTCAAACTAGTACCAGTTAGCTGGATATCCAGCTATTGGAGCTAACAGATCTATAGTCTAGAACACATTTACCGTGGGATCTGAGATTGCGAGCGCCAAAATTTCTATCCTATATACTTGAATACTCTTTCTCAACCGTGTTTTACACAGAAAAAACAAAATTTTATTTTTGGAGCCATTCAATAATACAGATCTCTAATAAATATTTCGATAGCACGCATAAGGCTATAAATACTTGAGATTGTTTTCAAAATACCTTTTTGTTTGCAGCAATCATGTTCATACGTTAAAATATATATCTATAAAATATTCCGACTTTTTATACTGATAGAAGAGGAACGAGATTCGATAATGTTGACATATTGCCTCAGGTTAAACATGTGTCTCCATCGAATCACCGATGGATTTTTATTCAGTCTACGTTCATATGCTCCAAGAAACCTTATCTATACCGCAGAATAAATTGTGCTGCCTACATTGCAATCACTTTTATAGATTTTAGTGTATATAAAGAATATATTTCTTATTTTATTAATCAAGTAAATCGAATATTTCGCGTTACATGCTGAAAATAAATGTAAATTCAAACAGCTACCAAAAATAATGGAAAAAAAATGACATTCCATTGTATTTTTTTGCATTGGTTTATGTCAGCAAGAAAAGTACCTGTCGTAAGAAGGGGTCACCGTCACCAATCGCTTCTCATCTGTTGATTCAAGGCTTGCGTTATTAAAATCATCAGGCATATATGCTTGTAGAGTGGCATAATACAATAAAGAACAAATAAAAGTGACTTTGGTAAGCTTTTGCGTAACGATCAATTCAAAAATAGATCGGACCATTGTCAAACAAAAAGATAAATCCAATCTTCTAGACACAATCTTTTCTTTTCAGTTATCAACCTAGTCGAGAATTCAATAGTATATAAAATATTGCTTGAATTAAAATAGTTCAATAAATTGAGAAGCAAGAATTTTAAATTTAAACGAGCAAAATTCCTAACTGAAATAGAAATGAGATTAAAAGACAAGGGAAGGAAACAAATAAAAATTAGAAGGATGGATCTGGATTAGTTGTTAAATCAAGTGAGCTGTGTATATTATAGTTACTTTGAATCAACTATAGAAATTGCTCATTTTTTAGATGAATGTTGCAGGGTCGGATTTATGTAATCCATAATTTTTGCTTGATGAAATCGTCCCCAGGTCAATGATTTCGAAGGACGGACACCGTAGGAACCGACCGGAAAAATGCGAAAAAATCACCGTATCTGGCCGGAAAGCACAGGAAACCGACCGGAATTCATAGGAAAAAAATCCGGTAATTTCCGGATGGAATAACGCTTCCGCTTTCCAGCGATTTCCAGTGCTTTCAGGCCATTTCCCACCGTACCTCTACAACCTGGGTCCAAGAAGTCGTTTTTAGTAAATAAGCATGAGAAAATCTTCAAAAATTTGTAGTCATTTAGGCTTATATCGATGATATATTCATGATGGTAAACTATAGCATAAAGGAAATTAATTATTATCTGGAAAAATCAAACAACAAAGACATAAATATTAAAATTAGCTACCAGATTGGTACATCCGTTGACTTCCTGGATATTACTATTCAAAATGAAGATACTAAATCAAAAAAATATCTCTATAATTAGCATGCTGCTGAGCATCATACTTTACCATGTGCATTAGATCATTCTCGTCATGTTCTTCGTAATGTATTATATGCTATTTTATTACAGGCTATGTGCGTTTTTTCGAATATCTATGATTTCAATCTAGTGCTTATTCGTATGGATGTATCACTACTTTCAAATGATTATCCACCAAATTTGATTGCAAAACAATTCTAGTCATTCTTTCTTCTAAGCGGAGAACTATCTGTATTTCACGAAACGAATGACAGTACTTACGAAGGCATAAATCAGAAACTACTGTATTAACCAACATCCCATTAGAAACTATTGAAAGAGATCTAAAAGTATACAGTTCAGTTATTAATACTGCCAGAAACAAAAAAATAGGATGAAACTACCGTATACCCGTTGCTATTAATGCGGTACACTATATACTATTGATGAGCTAACTAGAGAATTCAAAAACTGATGAAAGCTTATTAAGCATGCGCTGAATGATACCTACAGCGAATACCAGCCAAAAGCTCGAAGCATACTTCTGACAAACAAATACCTTCTAATACATACTATCAAGATTTGCAAGCTGTAGTGCAAGTTACCATATGGCTTGATCTTTGATGCTAGAAATGATTTAAACATATTCTATCTCAAACGTTTTTGGCATGTCATGTAAATGTGGCAGTAGAGTTTAGAATCTAGTTGAGATTGGAATTGTTGATTATTCTATAAATGTTATGAGAGAGTGATTCATAGAAATAAAATTTTCTTAGTGAGTGATATGAGATAGTTTGATTGATTATGTAGATTCAAAAAACGCGTTTTTGTTTCCAAGATTAATTGTGTCAATCTTTCATGGTTGAAGAGAGAGAAATGAGAAAGATTCTGAAAAGATGTTTGTTTCAATGCGCGGGACATTGGGACGTAGGGGCATTGATTTTTTTTTCTTTCGTTATGCATTCGAGGAAAAGACAGAAGAGAGTTTCGCTATCGTAATTTCGAAGTACGGGTCTCGAGCAGGTCGAATGGGAATGGAATTTTTTTTATATCGAATGATATGGAAGGAAAGGAATTTTTTAACAATTTTTCATGTATTTAATAAAGAAGCTTCTTATATGAGTACTCCATTTGATGTGTTATTATCTACAATCGTTCTTCGTTAAAAAAAATAAGCTAATATAAAAGAAACTTCGTAATTTATGTCTAATCATTGTCTGTTTCATAGTGACGATTATCAATTATAAAAGCTTAAATTAATAAAGAAATGATGACAAAAAAGTTAGATATTANTGTACTAAATCTAACTAGTAGAAAAAAATTTCCATATCGTTCATATAATTTTATTTGCATTTTGATTTTCGAAATTGTTTTCTTGTTTTTTTTTCGCTCTCTTTTGTGTCTATTTTCTCTATCTTTAATTAAATCTATTATTCCAATCTCAACTGAATTCTCATGTCAACTGTAACATATATATTTTTCTATCTAACAATATCAGTAAACTCTGAGCACCAACTAGCGTACAAAATTATCCTACCATTGTTTCAAAAACTCTTTATTCATTACCCCTCATATTGCACTAGTATTCTCGACAGAAAGCCAGTTTGTAATGAAAGCGAAATGTTTCCCGCGACTTCCATAACAATGCTTACGCAGTATACCAAGAAATCACATCCAACACAGTGACAAATCAACAGATCTTAAACAAGGAAGAAAACAACACAGACTCCGTCGTAAGAATTTAATTCATTGAACATCTATTTTGTTTCTTAACTCTGTGAAAAACTGAAAAAAAATCATCCTCTTTTGAACCAAGCAAAAGTGGTCAGCGTTCTTCTCGAGTTTTTTCCTTAGAATAATGCTCTCGTATTTTGAATAAAACGTTGAAGGCAAAACCATGAGAAAGGTTAAGAATATTCTCAGATTAGAAAAACAATTGGCTTGTGTTTAGTTGATGTGAACACAGCAATAAAACGCACAATAATCATCATGTCTTGCTCATAATGACAATGCATACCTGTTATCTAATAACGTCGCAAGACTTCGTAAACCTTTTCTTTTCTTTTACTTTTTGCATGCGTAGTAAGAACTACACTCGTAATAATGGATGCTAAATGGACTTTTACACTTCTTTATTCGATTTCAAGCCTGTGTTTCGCTACTTGTCTCATGTGTACAAAGTGTACCAATATTGCACTATTATTCGATAATCCAGTGGAATTTCCACTAACATGCGAAGCAAATTTTGTTGAAGCTAATGTTTGTCAATTAGTTTTTCATATGAACTATTTAACAAAACAAATTCATCTGAATCTTACTGGCGCAAATAATACGATAGGGAATTATCATATAGATCTATTAGTTGAAAATAAATTTGACGAACCAAAGATTATGAATGCCAACGCCACATACATTTGTAAGACCGTAACTGACTGTGCAAAAGTCTTTTATAAGTTAACTATACAAACACTAATTAAGAATGAACCTATACTGAAAGAATTACAGGCTGCACTATACGATCCAACTGTAGTCAATGTTCAACAGTGTTCAAATAAGCAGAACCAACCCGTCACATGTCAAAATGGCTATGGATGTCATGGAGTTGAAATAATCGAAAATGGCGAGACTGACTTTGAAGGAGAATGTAGGAATGCCAGCACGATAACAATATTTCCTCGTCAATATTTTAGAATTACACTTGTACAAGGTGATCCACCTCTTTCATCAGACTGGAATCATCTTGGTTTTACTTGCAATAAAAACAATTTGTGTAATAGTCAACAAGAAATTAAAAAAATGGTGATACTAGCAAACGATTTCTACCCATGGGAATTTATTGGCTTGAATGCGAGCACAAAGAAGTTTGTGAATAATAATTATCTTCTTCTGTTTTCCTTGATGTTATTCGCCTACAATTTTTTCGATTAATTAAATACGAATTTTATTCATTCAATGCATACTCTCTAACCTGTTCAAAGGTCAAAAATTTTCATACTTCATTCAATAATTTGCTTGGTAGACTTTAATAAAAAAATTGCAGTATACGACCACATCATGATATGACATAAAAGAATTGAAGAAAAAATTGAGATATTGCTTGGTACGCATTTCAAGTTACTTTTTTGTTATGTCATCATTTCAGAGAGTGTCGGTTTCTTTATAAGTTGCAAACTACCATGCGTTTCGACCTTTATTAATGATCTCATCAAATCGTTGTAAGTTTGTTTAATCCTTTGAACGATCATAAGACTCATAAATAAGATACGCGAATATTTTAAATTGAAATGTGTGAAGCTGCACTTCCAAGTACCAGAGAAGATAGATGGACTCATCATTCCGTACGGATTTGCTACGAACTTATTCAGCTTCGACCCATCAGAAAATGCAAATCTAAGAGGTGAGTTTCTAAATTTTGATATAATGGCAACCTCAAGTTGAGTGATGGAAACGCCTATCGACTAATCACTTGGATGTGTTCGTTTGAATATAGCCTATTGTTATTTTTGTTGTACACTGTATCACTGATCATAATTAGTTGTTTTACCTTAGTTGTCTTTAATGCTCACGAAAATTTCAAGTTCCGAAAGCTTGTTATTTTGTAGTAAAGTGAATTTTAAGATTGAAGAAGAAAATTTGTTATCTATTTCGGTGCCCATTTTTCTCTATTGCTAGCCGCATGGTAAAACTTCTTTTGCATTGTTTTCTTCGTAATGAATTCATTTTAAGTTTTTCAGATCTCCATTACATACATGAGAAAAAATATAAAACTGTATCTTTTTCAAAAAAAAATATTTCTCTGCTCTTATAAGTATCACTGATAAAAGTTCTGGAAATGCAATATTACTTTTTTTTGTTTAATTTCCGATACACGAAAATTAGAAAAAATACTAAATGAGAATGTTGCTGCTATTTTTCATGTATAGTAAAATATACAGGCCTCACATTTTATTATCATTTAGTGCTAAGCCTGCTAAAGTTTCAAATACATAAAGAAGAATAATATGAAATATTTGCTTAAACAGTGATCAAGAGTTTGATAAACAAAAGATTCCTAAAACAACAAAGAAAACTACAAAGGTAATTTAATGTCGATAAGAAATAGACGAAATCAAATAAAATCACAGAATACGATGTGTACTTAAGACGAAATAGCTTTTTATCAGATATACACAATTATTTTGTTATTTTTGATTAAAACACAAATTTTGCAAATAATGTGACAGTATTTAAAAAAAGGGGTAAGATAAATTGAAAATTTAGGCACACGATAATCGTATTATCTTGTACCAATATCTTGGATGACGCATTCTGAAAGCATGTTTTGATATTTTTTCAATTTATTTTCTTTTAATTATTCTTGTCCCGAATAACTCAAGCAAGTCAGATGTTCGGATCTGACCGACTTTAAGTTGGCCCGATATCCGTCAGATCAATTTAGGATAGTCCGCTCTCGACCATCAATCGAGATCAGCATTCTCTGGAATAATCAATAATCGAGAAATAGTTTAGATAAAGACTTATTTTGAAAAATGATACTTCGTATGTTCAATCATGCTGCTTATATTCACCTCTGTATGCATAAAAAAACGATGAATGACTAGATAGCCTATGTAAATACACTGATGATGTCGCTTTCCGTTTTACTCAAGTTCTTGTGATAAGATAATAGTAAACGATATATTTTCCATGATCTTGCCAACATTTTCGGTACAGATTTATATGATACAACCAAGATACGTACATACAAATTATCTTTTTAAGATCTTATGAAGATCTTACTTACCGATCCCAAGATTTGCAGATTTTGCTTACAAAATGTTTCACTAGGGTGCAGAGTTCGGACAAGTACAAGTATAGCAATTAAAAGTATTTTACTTTTACTCGAAAAAGAAAGTTTGTACTTTTACTTATACTTCGAAGCAAGTACTGCTATATGTACTTGCCTATGCACAAGTATACTTGCTTTTGTACTTGTACCTGAAAAAAAAGTATTTTTACTTGTACTTGCCTCTAATAAGTTCGTTAGAATACTTGTACTTAAATAAATACGCTTGTACTTGTACTTGTACTTGCATTTGTACTTCTATTTGGGTTTGTACTTATCCTTTAACAGTTGTGTTGTTATGCCTTTTGTCGTGGAGCACCTATGCGCACTTCTATACTTTAGTTTTATAACAAAAAATCACTTTAACCTATACGCATCATCATATGCATCGTAAGTCATGCATCATGCTATCTATCTAAGAAAGTAATGGATATGTCTTTCAAATGTATTTTCAAGACTTTCTAGGTATTTGTAAACATCATCTTCACGTATTTCTCAAAGAGAATAAAATATATAGACAGGTAAAAACATGTGAAAATATTTGAGAACACATCGGCAGCACATAGTAAATATATATAGAAATGCATAAAAATACAAAGATAATGCTTTTTATTTCCCGTGCTGTCATCTCCAATAATCTTAAAGAAAATGTTGTAGCATCATCAGTTCCAAGTTTAAGAAAAAAACAGTGGTATTCAAATCCTAACTTCCTTTTCTTTCATAGCGAGATTCGTCAAACACTGTTTGTTTTAATTGGTATGGTTTCCGTTCAAGTTCGTACATTATACTGATAAATTACAATGTAAATAAGAATTGTTGTAGTGTATTAGAAAACTCATCCATAAACATCAAGTATAATTTAGGTCGATTATCGCATCCAAAATTCACAAACACTAGCACATGATGCTACAGTGAATTTTTAAAATGTTATCGACATGATTATTTTTTAATATTGATTCTTAAATTTTGGAAAATAATTTTCAGTGAAAAATGTTTTTGAATACGTATGCGTATAATGATTATTTCTTTGAAAGTAGAATTTACATGATTTAATTCATTCTGAGAATATTGCACTTATAGAAACAACTTATCACATCTATTTTGACTATGCTGAAATTTCAAAAGCTTGACCATACTGCGCACGTAAATTATCTTTTTACAAAAGTTAATGGTCAAATCATTTTTTTTCTATATAAACATATCCTTTTATTCTAACTCGATTTATTTTCTTGTTCATAAATCACGTCCAAAATATCACAATTATACGTAAATAAACTTCACAAAATGAATAATCATGTATAATTAAAGCTTATCACAGTAACCTTGTTTATTGAAAGCCAAAATGTTAAATAAACAATTAATCAATGGATAAAAAAAGATAACTTCATATACTGGCCATATGAATTTCAGCCTTTCCTTCGAAATGCAGTTCCATATAAGTATTGAACTCGAAAACAGAATTATGTAACAAAAAACTTTCTAAAGTAAATATATTAAGTGCAAGTACAAGTATAATACACCTACAAGTACCAAGTATAGTACTTATGGTGAAAGTACAAGTATTAGTACGTGGTACTTGCTCAAGTAAAAGGTACTAATGCAAGTACTAAGTATATATTTTTAAGTATAAGTACGAGTACCAAACCCATCTGATGAGTACTGATACTTGTACTTGAATTTTGAACCAAGTATTTGTTACTTGTACTTATACTCGAAAAAGTACAAAAAGTAAGGGTACAAATAATTTCGTCCGAGCTCTGCTAGGGTGTGGCTATAACGATACGAAATTTTTTATCGTGATATCGAACTGTTTTATTTCAATCATCCTTTTCCTTTTACAGTTATAATTTCTTTCTCCAGGGCGTCTCACTCAACCGGAGAGAACGAGAAAGAACACGACAAAGAGGAAGAGAGAATACACATGAAAATCAGGAGAAAGTCGTTATGTACATTGATTAGGATAGAAAGAGTGCTTATATCGGCACAGTGGCGCATCTTTTTTTTCGACATCTCAAATCAAATTTCTTTTCTTTTTCTTTCACATGTGAAACGCTGTTTAAAGTGTGAATTTAAGTTCGACACAATGTAATGCTGTTTACCGAATCAACACTAGAAGAGCAAAAAGAAATGAGAATTCTTTGCTTTCTCTCAATGTCCTATGTGAAACAACTATGGTAGCTGAAAGCCAAATACATATGAATACGTGATGATGCAATCTCTTTAACTACCACTTTTATTTGAGCATGCATCAAGACTGCAACAGAACAGAACAGTAGTCAAATTATTTTACTGTTTGGAAGCTGTTTTTCTTTCGTTCAAGGTGACAGTGTATTACAAGCAGCTACTATTGTGTTGCTATCACATTGAGTGTCGATCGGTCGACCGAGAGAAAGGTAAGTAAATCAAACATGTGCAGAAATATAATTTTGATTTGAATATGATCATTGTAAACCATGATCACTGTTATTTTGCTATGCTAGAAGATGAAATGTAGCGCAATTAAAACGTTTCTATAACGGTTGATGGATGAAAACGAGATCTTTGCCACATACTTGAGTGAAGGATATCTTAAAATGTGATGCTGGTTTGGATTTTTTCATTGTTTGAGCAAGTAATTCCTCTCCGAACTGTTCGATATTATCGTTTACAGGAATATAATGATTAAAGTTATAGTTTCGGGGTGAGGGTCTTGGATGGATCCTATCCTTAAATCGTTGGTCGTGAAATTATAATTCAGGATCACACTGGATAAACGAACTTCTGTCTTCTAGTATTATGCTAATAGGCCCTCTATGATTGATGCTGTTTTAGTAAAATTTATTTTTCTTTGGTGAAACTCTTTATTCCTGCCCAGTGAAAAATATCCCTCACAAAATCGTGATTATTTTGGATTATGGCTGAACAAATCCGATTTCTCGAACCAGATCATGTCTTTTTGTAATATAATCCGATTAAAATTTTAATCTATCCAATCAATTATTGATGATTTTACCCCTTAAAATCTAATTTTAATGGACCAATTGATTGATTAACAATCGATTCTTTGAAGTAGCCCATCTAAGACCAGATTTCAATCCTTCAATTGATTAAAATCTTCGCAATCCATTAATATCTCAATCTCTCAAAGTCGAATTGATAGATTATCAATCGGCTATTTCTAATTACTACAGTTGAAACCAGGTTTTAAGTCTATAATCGATTAAAATCTTCTCCATCGATTGAAATCCCAATCTTTCATAATCGAATTGTTTGATTAACAATTGATTGAATATGATTAACTCTTCCGAAATCAGATTTTAATCATGCAACCGATTAAAATCTTCTGAATCCATTAAAATCCCAATTTTTTACAATCGAATTGAGTGATGATCAATCGATTATTTTTAATTACTGAAGCTGCGACTGGATATTGCTCGAACAATCGATTTTAGTGAATTATAAGTGTATTTAAAACACTAAATATTAAGTGAATTTGCAAACTAATAATGGCTGCAACTTGAATCTTCTCCTATAATGATATGTAGCCCAATGGTATATGACTCACATTCGAATTGGAGACTATATACTTAACTTTCCAGGTCGCGCAGTCGGGCCTGGAAACTGCCGGTTTCGGTTACTTCCGTTGATTTTATGGAAGCAGTATTCCCGTTGGACAATTTTCGGATTTTTTCCGGTGATTTCCGATAAATTCCTGCCGGACAGCACCGCAACTTGGCAAGAATCCATCGAAAAAGTCCGGTCGTATTTTTTCACCGGAATACTGCTTCCGTGTTCCAGCGACTTCCCGTGTTTTCCTACAGGATATGGTGACATCCTCGCATATTTCCTGGAGTATCCTGCGGGATCCGGTGACCGGAATGTTCGATCTGGGTTATGATTCGAAACTCATTTTACATATTCCACACATCTTTTATGTATCATAAAATTCTAAATTAAGTTGTATTGATGGAGACCTATCATTAATGGTAAGTTTCTCAAAATATTTTTTCGGCACAATTTTGTTTTTGTTATTTTTCATAACTTTTACTAATACTGTTGGTTGTAGTATAAGAATAAATTAAGATACATAATATAAATAGACTAATTATCCTTCTTTTCCAGTTCTTCGATATAAAATACACAAGTATTCTGTGATTTGACATTTCTTATAGATATCTCTAGTGGACAATATATTACTAAAAGTGACAAGAAAGGTATTTAAACTATCTAAGAGTATTATATAAGTAGAAAGCACATATTATACGAGTAGAACATAAAACAATATCAGCTCTATCACCGCTATGTATTTAGGCCACTACTACGTTTAAAACGTTATGTATCTACACAGGACGAATTAAATCGATTAGAAATTTTTAGTTAACGTTAATTTAATTTTAATACTTTTAACCGATTGTTTTTGTCATATTGCCATCTAAGTTCAAAACAATTTAATATCGCAGCTTCAAATTTAGGTTATCTGTGAGATTTTAATAACTATATTTTAAACATCAGAAATGTAAAAATCGTAAAAGTTTTGTGTTAAACATTTGATTATCAAGAAGAAGCTCTCGCTGTCCAGGTTTATTCATTAATTTAATTAACAAGTGATAATCGGCTACAATTGATTAACAGGTAAGAAAATGTTGTATGCGATTTATAGTTAACAGTTCTAGTTAAAATATTTGATTTTTTCGATTTTGATCCTCATGGATTCGTTAGAGAACCATGAAAGGTTTGCTATTTTTTCTACAGAAGGTCACTAAATGCTGAAAGAAACTTGTACACTAAACATTTTGAAGATTTAGACAGTAGTTGAACCAAGATAATAAAAAGATTTTGTACAGTCTTTGTTCACTTTTAGATCATTATTCTGATAGGATTTAAACCATTCTGATGCAATACCTTCTTCTCATATGCAGTAGAATTGTACTTGGTTTTCTTCTAAATATGCTATCTCGTGATAATACAGAAGAAGTCTATTTTCAAAGGTGAACAGACAACCTAAGAATACTGAGTAGAGATATTTAGGTTTTCAATACAGAAATAGATCAGCGTTTCTGGTTGAACTGAGGTATACTATTATGAAAGAATTAATTGCTAGATATTAAAAATTCTGAATTTATGTGAACTTCTACTTGAGTTTCAGATAAAAAGTACTCCACCGAGTTCCTCAAATGTGATATTAATCTTTTTTTGTTCAGTTGAAAACATGTCACTACATTTTTTCTATTTTGAATCTAATAATAAAATATTCTCTTTAATGTTCTTTAATGAATAATTGAAATTATAAACACTTTTAGTAAAAGATTTCTAACGTGAGGAAAAATAAAGGGACTCTTGAAAATTTTGTCGAGGCTGCTCCAATGAATAGTCGTGATAGCAATGAGAGAAGAAATTGTAGTAAGTTGTATCTTAAAATAGAGTTCCAATAAATATCAGTCGGTAAAAAAACAGGAGTAATCACTTGTAAAGCAAGGCCGTAGTCAGAATTTTATATTAAAACGTCTCTATTTCGTAGTAACAGAGCTGATGAGATTCAGTTTGCCCAAACGACACCATCTGATCTGTCCGATTGATATTACTTGAAAACGTTTTCTTAATCTATAACTAAGCTTACGTGCGTGCGCCCTACAAGAGCTAACTTTCATGAATCACAATTGTGCCAATCGATTATTATAGTTTTCTAATGGATTTTTATTGATTATGATCAAAATTATCAATCGGATTATTCTGCAGCAAAATCAAAATTTTAATCGATTAGAATCGAAATTGAAATCACTCTCAATCGATTGTCGAGTACGAATAAGCGATTGATGTTGATTGGCAATCTCGATTTCAATCGATTAGAATTTTGATTGTGTTGCAGAAAAATCCGATTACCAATTTGGATTATGCCCAGAGGATTTCGAAATTATAATCTATTTTAATCCCTAAAATTTTTCACTGGGTAGGTCATTATTGTTTTACCACGACATGTAGAAATTCACGAAGTAATTATCGATTTTTGAATCAGCTGATGATGACTGCTCATTTGAGATTAGCATTTAACTTAGCTTCTGATATTGATGAAGTGCCAGGTATCAGGATTGCCACTTCGCCATTTTGCTAAGTTTTTCCTATGACTTCATCATTTCTTCAATATTTCCTGGCAGTCCCTTGCTTGCTCTCGTGAATGGTCAGATTTTAATACACTTTCATTTCAAAATAAATATGTTAGACTGATCTTTTGTTTAAAAACCAGAACATTAATTATCAAGAAGATTATTATATAAGGCTTCAAATCATGCTTCTTTTCATATGCAAAAAAAAATTATCTTCATTAGGCCTAATTTTGAGAATATTACTAAAGAAAAGTTTGATTCCAACGTTTGTAGGCGCCATTTTCTATATTTTTTAGCTTTCTAAGAAGAAGGAGTGAAGCGTACTAAACTCTTCACACTATTAGATACACCAAGCACTTCTATGTTTTAATACACTAGAGAAATTTTTTAATTTGATCAATAATTTGGTAGGAATCGATTTTTATTCGTTTCTGATTGTTTAGTTGAGTAACATGATGTTTTTTTTAATGGTATTCAATGATCTTGATGTTACAAAGAAAGAATGAAGCTCATTGAAAAAATTGCATGAAGACATTTCGTACTAGGTGTCCCGGACACCCGGTAATCCGTTCAAGTGTTCGGAATTGATTCTTGCCTTTAAAAACTTTTATCGGGAGTACGTAACGCATGTTGGTCAGGATATCGTAATTAAAAAAAATACAGGGAAATCGGAATAAAATGATCGACAATATGGAAAATACTGTCAGAAAATCGGGACAAAAATGGCCGGGTGTCCGTAAACTCATTTTACCTGGAGATCGGAAGTATATCATAATACTTATCGAGTGGGCTATCTTAAAGAGAATGAAAATACTAGGCAAGGGCATGGGTATGGGTGCGGGTGCGGGTGCGGGTGCGGGTTTGACTATTTGTTACTATACTCACACACTCACCCTCAAAAGCTTTTGCTCATTTTATTGAAAACATGTCAAACAAAGACTTCTATTTGTTCAAATTCGGATTTAAAAGAAATATCAAAATTACTCTCAGCTAGAGTTATTCCAAGTTGCTAGTGTTAAGCAATTAATAAGGAAGCCTAGCTGAGTGATTAAAAACTGTTGAATTAGCACCAACTCACTTGATTTTGACGTAGGCACCATATTGGAAGAAAAAAGAATCAGCTATTAAACAATACTTTTTGCACGATTCAGATAGAGAAGTTTCAGAAAATTCGAGGAATGATTACACTAATATATCGTCTAAATTTCAGATTGGAATAAATTTCTTGCATTTTCCGCTGAAATAGTGTATAACAAATCGATAACACCAGTGTAACGCATGACAAAGACTCAAGAGTATATATTCTTTTGAGCTGTTTCATATTTTAATGTAATATAAATTTTGAGTTGTTCTAGCTAAAAATATTTGAATACGTTGGCAAGGGATCCTCGTAATTAAATTCGAAGTTACTGTCAATACTATGGCACGAAGGAAAGAATCAGCAACAGGAGCACTCGATAAAGACTCGAATCAATCGGCAGTTGAACGACAAACGGAGTCTTCACACAAGAGTGGTACAATTTGGGATGCTATACGTAAAGCGGATCAACCATCACTGGAACGCCTCCTTGATGCTGACCCCAATAGTATCAATACAAGAGGTTTTGTTGGTGAATGTCCTATTCATATGTTGTTCTTATACGGGACTGAAGCTCATCTCAATATGGCTCAATATCTCATTACACGTTTCCCAGAGATTATCATACAGAGCTACACTGAGGCAGTGAGTAACTTGTTATTCATTTATCTCTCTATTGAATGAAATATACACGACACAGGAATATTATGGCGAAATTGTTCTTCATATCGCTATTATAAATCGCAATGCAACCATGGTCGAATGGCTCCTCGGTGATAAACGTAATCGACCCTATCAAGAACAACAGCTAACAGCTGCCGCCAGTGGACACTTTTTCCAATTGTACGTATGAATATATGAGAGTGACCAGTGAAGAATGCACTATTTTGCTTTTCCCCCTAAAACCTAAAGTAAATTATACATAGGGAAAATGTACTTCACAATCAGACCAAGTAAATGCCTCCTTTTTGAGTCCTACGATTGATAGAAATGATGTGTCTCAAGTAAGTCTATGGTCACTCAATGACTTAGATAAGCTGGCTAAAATTGGTGACGAAATAGCTCTTTTTCTTTGAGTGGAATCTATTTATCAGCTCGTTGATTGTACGTAGGCTCTCAATATTAGCAGCTACATAGTAAACGTTGTGCCGATATTGATGATACGCTTCGATGATTCTCCTTTCTTCTCTTTCCATTGTTCTAATATCTCTCTCTCCTGTCTCTCTTCTATCTCTCTCCTATATATACGTGTGTTATGTATGAAGTTGGGACATGACTAGAGATGTCAGATGACACAATACACTATCATGCCGACGGGCATAGGCGACACTCTAGTTTTGTCGTTAGACTCTGGATATTTGAAGTAGCCTAATGAACATCTTTGCCGAGAGTGGCACAAGCTAATCCAATCCAGTTGTTCGTTACAAACGTAAGCTTCTAACATGCTTATTAGTTGTAGTTTGGCAAATAAGAGTTTTTTTTAAACTACGACCTAAGAAACTATTCAAATTTCGCTCCGATGTGAGCTAGAACTGGCCCATATCTAGTGGCATTCTTGGGACTGAAGATCGATAATGAATAAATTTATGTAGAAGTTTTAGATAGGACCATTGACCTATGAATAATTTCTCTACTAGTCATACTAACGGGTAATATAATAAGTGAATTATGAAAGTAAAATCTAAACAAAACATCTTGACTCTTATGATGCCAAAAACAAATTTCAGACATGTCGTTTCTATCAATCTATAGTGTTCAAAACATAGATATCTGCTTGATCTCTGTATTAAGTACACTTGATAAATATCATATTGCTCCTGTGTATTATTTAATTCAGATTTCAGAAAATAAAATTGAAATATCCTTGGTTGGGCACTCTCATGTATATGTATGCTTTTAAAACGACATAAATATGTTTCGTTTCTTATCAGTGGTAGACCATGTTATTATGGTGAAAATCCTTTAGCATTTGCTTGTTGTACTAATCAATGGAATATTGCGGAAATTCTGCTCAAGTATGGGGCTGATTTAGATATGGTAAGTAGACCACGATATTTTTCAGAAGAAAACTCAAGTAGAATATTATTGTTTGACTCTCTATTGTAGGTTGACAGTAATGGAAACACAATATTACATTTACTTGTAATTCATAATCTACCAAAGATGTATACCAAATTCAAGAAACATTGGTTGGACCAACAGGCAACGGTGACTAATGAGTCGGATGATGATGATGATAAGGGCAAAGTAGTTGCATCTGTGAAGGAAAAGAAGGTTCCACTATGGAACCGTCTCAATAAAGATGGTTTCACTCCGTTGACCTTAGCAGCTAAATTAGGTCAAAATGACATGTTCTCCTTTTTATTTGATGAACGTAAAAAGGTTCAATGGTGTTACGGGCCTGTGTCGTGTGTACTTTATCCACTTGATGAAGTCGATCTTGAAATTCAACAAGAAGTCAGTATACACTCTCTATTCTTTCGCTCTCGCTCTTTGTTTATCTTTTGAACATTCATTAAGGGCGAGAATGCACCGCCTGGAGCTCTTGAATTGATTTTAAAAAGTACTCAAACTGAACTTATTATGCATCCACGTCTTATCGATTTAGTCAATAGAAAATGGGAACGTTTTGCACGACGTATTTTTTTTCGACGTTTTCTTATCACTCTTACCTATTTATTAATTTTTCTTCTTACTACAATTCTCGATCAGACGCGAACAGAAACAGTAAAAGCATTGTTCCCAAAAAACATTCGTATATTGAAATTTCTTTTCTATTTTGTTTTCAATGATAGACACAACGTAAACGTAAAGAAATTGTAGTGATTAGTGTTATATATCCAGGCATGATTCATCAAATTATATGCCTAACAGGCCATCTAATTGTATTAGCTGGTGCTGTATCAAAAGGCAATTGTGAACTCAGGGAAATGAGAAGCGTAGGCATACGAAAATATTTTCAGACTAAGGTGAGCTTTTCTTTGCCAGTCATTTTTTTTATCATGAATCTCATGTGTTCTTACTTTCAAATTAGGGTGCTGGTCTTCTTGAAAACTGTCTAGCATGTTCATTTTGTGCTGGTATCATTATTGTTAATATTTTTCGTCTATTCAATATACAAGCACAGACGACCGTACTTGCACTTGTCTCAATAGTAGGTTGGGGTTACATGCTATTTTTTGTTATGGCTTTTCAACTTACTGGACCATTTGTGGTCATGATTTATGAAATGCTTTTTAATGATGTACTTCGTTTTTGTATAATTTATATGGTATTTCTTGTTGGCTTTTCACAAGCATTCTTTATTCTATTCAATAATAACGGTAAATTGAAAAGGATTTATTGTGTGTTACTATTTTGCATACTATAGGTTTTAGTGGCTTTTTTCTGAGTGTCAAGCAATGTTTTTTTGGTATGTTGGGTGATTTCGATATTGATCGTTATACGGGAACAACATTTCAATATGTCAGCGTTTCATTACTCGTCATTTACGTTGTTGTTGTTAGTATTCTTCTCCTGAATTTACTCATTGCTATGATGGGTGATACATATGGAAATATAATTGAAGGTGCTACACAAATATGGTTCGTTCAATTTAGTTATTTCTCTCTATGATTTATTCTTTTCAATAGGCATTTGGAACAAGCACGTATTGTGTTTGCAATTGAAAATGAAATGTCGGCAGACGAACGTATGCTAAATGAGAATAAATATTGGACAACTATTGATGGTAAACGATATCTACAAGTAGAAGAAGTTGACAAAGATTGTTTTCGTGATATTAATAATGATAACAGAGATGATGACAACAACGAGAAAAAAAGAGAAACATAAGATACTCAAAATAGCTGTGTAAATGGTTTATCACGTATAAAAAGAACAACATCAGTCGGCTAACCTTCTTTGACAACATGCATAATATCAAGAACACATCGAATATAACTTAAAAGAGAGTGCTGTATAAGAACAATCAATGTATGCATATACCCGATAGGGGAATCTATTTCTTTTTAATTCTCAATTAAAGTATCTTAAATAAGAAAATCTCTGTGACTGCATCATAAACCTTGAGGGTCTGTGTAGTTTATGCTGTGAATGTAATTTTAAGTAGGATGCGAGAATGGGGTGAATGTGCATTTGATCGTAGAAATATCGAAAAGTTGTGGGCTTGTATGATTGTTAATCTGTTTCTTTTCATACTCGCACCTCAGTAACAAAAATTTCGAACTAGAATAGTACTCAATTGTTGAACGAACATTTATTCGAAATATAAAGTAACATGGCGTCAGTTCGAAAATGTTCTATATTTTTGTTTATTAGTCATAACGATACAACTTAGCGAGTGCAAATATGAAAGCAATCATTTTTTTAGTAGTAGCTGCATTATGTGAATAGACCGTAAGAATGTTTCTCTCTGCTCTCCTTCGAAAACGGCCCCTTCCGTCGTTTTTATACTACGCACTAAAAAAATTAATAAATTTAATTATGCCTGTTCACGGCTCTTTGTTTTTTCTGGGCAATCATACGAAAGAAAGAGCGCGAATCGTTGCGCACTCATCGACTGACAACGTTGATGAGAAATTTTTTGTTTGACTCTTTCATCAACGTACTGGATTCTGCAAGAATTATTCTATACATGACATCAACTCCAGAAATAATGACAGATGATTGCAAGAAAAAATTGAGCACAGTTCAATTAAGCACTGTGGTGAAGACGAAATCGAGAAAACTTACGGTCAATTTATGAAAAATCTTTTTTTTGTCAAAACAATACAAGAGATTTTGTTTCTGCGAGCGATCAGCCATCATGAAACGATCTTAGGACGTTTTCAAAACTAATTTACATCAGCATCAGACAGCTTTCATATAGATGCCATCTCGAAACCACACAGTGTATTCATCTATCTAATCGAAGAACAACTTTTTATTTGCGCTTATAAACAACATTCTATTGAAAGTCATGGTTAACAAACGGCTCAATAGAAGATTTCAATCTGCATAGAAGTCCGAAAATATTTGTTTTATTTCACGATTTTCGGCATTGAATTTCTATTGAGAACACTTCTTTTTTTGTCACGAGTTACAGTTCTGATAATTTTACCAAATATACATTTTGACAAGGACTTATGATCATGCTAGTCATACCGTATTGGCTAACAAACGATTGCGAAAATCAATGAGTTAGTCGGAATGACTATAAATTCATATTAACTCTCCACTTGTTACGTTAACGACTCTATCGACACGAGTGCAAATGATATTCATAGTGAATCTAAGATAGTTTACAAGATAAATATAAGCCAAGCATATGGATGCATCGGCAACGTTTGCTAGATGAGCGTTAGCCGGCTTGTCAAATATGTGAACAACTCATACAGATCGTATTAAAATAATAAGTAAAGATAACACATCAAGCCATTAACTACTCTTTACTGAAAAACGACTTCTACTATAGATTTGCACATTGTCACATTTTTTAATCCGTATTGTGTAGGATATAATTAGTAATTACGCTGTTGTAACCTTGATAACTGTGCCTACGAACAATATGAAAAAATGACTATGGAACAGTAATTAATACACCAGCAATTGAGACCTAGATAAAAACAATGATAACTTTAACCGAATCTGCAAATTTAGAGCGAATATTTATTGAAAGTAAAAAATATAGTTCGTTATTCATTGTGTCACCTTTGATAAAGTGTTGGCATAAAACCTCTAATTCGATAATAGGCACCATAACTACGAAACAGAATACTACAGTTTAGCAAATCAGGGTAGAGACTTTGAACAAGGAATGTACATTTTAAATATTTCACAATCAACTACTGTTTATTAAATTTTCATGGTGATTAAAAATCAACAGGAGACTAAAGGACAAATCTTATTCTTTTCTTTTAGAGAATCTTTGGGAGAGATATTTCCAAAGGGTTGTCTGACAGACGAAGAGTGCACTGCAATGTTTCATGGATCGGATCTGTATTGCAACCAAGTGAAATTTAGTCCATCCAAACATCTTGTCACTGTGGCCGATAGAAACAATTCACGTATGATGTATGTTCGTTCATTCCTTTATTCATGTCAGATGCGATATTGCTGAGAAAGAGATCTTGATACTTTTTTTATAGACCTCTAAAAGTTATTTTCAATTCGTTTGTATAATTTGTCTCTATCATATGAGATAATCACGAAAATAAAGAGCCTTAATTTCAAATGAGATATAACATGTATTGTATAACTGTGCTAGTATCATCTGTTTTCCTTTCTTTCAGAAGCCAAATGTGGCAATCCCAGTTATTATTCTTGTTGGAACTTGTTGATACAGTCGACTTGTATGAATATTTATTAACGATGGCACTATTATTAGGTAAAGATCGCAAAATAACGATCAAATGTCTCTTCAGATTATGCGATTTCAATCAAGATGGTATGTTTAATGAAGACGAAGTCATCGATGTATTATATACATTCTTTCGCATATCACTCAACAATGCTAATAATGATGCTGAAGATCGAGATGGATGTCGTTTAGAACAGCTCAGAAATAATGTAAACAAGGCTTTTAATGACAAAACACAAGTATCCGAACAAGAATTTTACGAAGTCTGTATGAAGAGCGAACCCGTTCAAGAGCTCGCGAGTCGTTTAGGAATGATATTTATGCTTGGCATGATGTTCGACGATTCTGACTTCTAGTAATGTTATTGGTCGGACCCTATTGACTTTCTATAGGCTATTTTTCTCAATAATATACTGTAGTATCGATCATTCCTGATGAGTTTACTAATTGTCTTATAAAATCAAAGCAAACGATTATGCTTTCAGAATGTGAGTGTGGGGTATTTTAGATCAGGTAGCGTTGCTATTTTAACAATTTCCACTTATACACCCAATATTTTTTGGATAAGTCTATAAAATTGATAATCTTCAGAATTAATTCACAGAATCTACAATTTTCAGTCATAATTATGTGAATTGTAGTTCATAATTTGAAAGCATTGTGTCAAATGATGAGTATAACTTATTGATGATGGTAGCATATCACAAAGAAAACACAATTCTCGTTTTGGAGCAAGAGTCAAAATGCTTTGCGACAAATTAGATCGAACGATTGTCATTTGTTTATGCAGTGGAGACATTTACTTAAAAGTAAGATAATAATTGACACAAATTTAACCCTTTTTGTTGAGATGTTTTGCGTGTGGATCAGTATCGACATCATTTGCTGCATAAACTGGACTCTTCTCTTCGCTTCACTCTACACCTATTCCAAACCGCGAATAGAAACAGGCGCATTAATTTAAGTGGAAAAAATACTTATATCTATTTTCTTGGTCGAATTATAGATTGGTAACTTACAAAGATACAGGACACAGAAAAACAATTTCACAAGTAATATAATGAAATCGAAATTTATTGTAAAATTCTTTATTACAATCAAGAACTCAAGTAAAACACATTGTTTCTGTTTGAGTAAAAACTGATAGCAAAAGTACCCAATAAATTCGTGGCCATAAATGCCATATAACTGCAGAAGCTGCATGATTAAATAATAGGGAATACGATTCATATCTGATGAAATATGTTCTCATCAACCACGAATCAATATTTTACCAAATATAATAAGTTGATATATTGATTCTCGTATTGAAAGTTGGTCGTTATTTCTTCCACTATATTTATGATTCTTCTCAGGTACGAATTTTGGGTTATTTTTGTAGTGCGTAATAAATTCGGTTAGAAATGGAATTGCATATTGAGTGCCTAGACATTTTCTAGGCCCGATTCCAAATGGTGTCCATAACTTGTGATTGTATTGTTCTTGTTGGCCAATCGTGTCCAATGGAATAAATACTTGCGTATTGGCATTGACGAGCACACATTTAACACCATCATTACATTCTACAATGTCTTTCTCGATATAGCGTTCGATTATTGGAAATGGATGATAATAATGAATTAGCTCTTGAATCGATAAATCGGGATGTCGACTAGAAGATACTGCAATATCACTAAAATTTATCATAGGAGATAAAATAAATGGTTGCATGATGACCGAATAACATTCTGGAGTTGACCATTGTTCACCGAATATTTGATAGTAATCAGATTGATTTATCAAGTCAATTAACCAGTCAATTGTTTTATATTTTAACGCTGTATCCGCTTTTCCTTTTATCGCAATTTCTTTGCGCCACTCCCATGATGCTTCGCAGACAAAATCCCATTTGGAATCCCAATCTCGATTAAATATCCATTTGACAAAACAAGCTAATGTGATTTGAACAACTTGTTTTGCGTCGATCTCTATATTTGCATTTTGTGAAGATAAAATATGTCTTACTATGTGAGTGAGGTGTTCTACAGGTGGAAGATACTTTTGAAAAATAAGAAATTTCGATTTGAGATCTATCCATGAGTTGCCATTGACAGATTCGAGAGAAAGAACAGGCGACCAGGCTGGACAAGCAATTTTTTCTTCAATGAATGAACCTTTATTTGATGAAGCTAATAAAACCTGTTTGGCAATATGTATATCTGTTATCCACGTGACTTTACAGCCACTTTTCCACCCGAGTAGAGACAGAATAAGAAATCTTCCATCTGTAAATCGAATAGTCAGAGATATCATGTGAAGAAAATAGTAGAATCCATAGCACCATATCAATAGATTACATCCGAATTCGACAAATCTAAATTGCCGCCACCACAATAAAATACAAACAAGATGCATACCAAGATAAAAAAAGAATAATGAAATTGCACCAAGCTGAAGAACAGTAAATAATTTGTGATTCTTGGTAAATAATAAAAGTGCTGTAAAAAATTGGAACCATGGTAAAAGAATGGGAAGATAGAATAACGTTCCTTCGTTACGGAAATTCCAAAAGTAAATCGTAGTAACAATGCTATATAACATATGTTGAATAGAAATAAAATCTTGTAGTATATAGTAGATACTTTTTATTTTCAAATATGGACATGCTAGTAGAGTATTCAACAATAATAAAACCCAATTTGAGTTCGAATAGCAAGTATGTGCATAAAATTTCGCTTGATTGATCATGTTTCACGTGAAATAACAAAACTAAAAGACAATTCGACATCATCAAGATATTGTTCAATTCTTTCTACTCAAAACTAATCCCAATGGATTCGAAAACTGAACAAGGGAGTAGTCATAGACCTAAATCAACAAAAGAGAGAAAGTAAAGCAACAAGAAAAACAGGAGAAAAAAAAAGAAGCTTTTCTTCTAGCCGAACTGGTTAGGGAAGCTGTCCGGATAGCGAAACACGTCACTTTGCTTTTCTCGTTCTGTCACATAAAATCAGCGACACCGCTTGCCCTTTATGTTCTATAAATATGACAAGTTAACAAATCGATAGAACACACGAGAACGTTTCAGTTCCACTGAAGAAAAACAGCTATTTTTCAAGGATGTGGAAAATCAATTATTTCGAACCTGCGTCACAGTCAATAACTTGATTCATCGAATTTTCTGATGTTCTTAATCATTAAGTGCGTCTGATAGTTATAGACAGAAAATCTACACTCATAATCCACTGAAATTATCGAGGAATTTCAACTTTTTTGAATATACTTATTATATCTCACTTGTAATACGCAGAACATTCTAAATTTTATAAGAGAATAATCAGACTTTCGAAAAGGTTGACTTAAAAAAATACGAATCCTCTTGATTAAATAGGAGATAAGGGTTTAGCTATATGAAGGAGCATGGCTGTTCAAAGTTCGCTATCTCATGATCTACACTCCACACACTTACTTTATTGTCAGAAATTTATTCGATAGTTGATTCTAAGCCATGCTGACAAAAAAAGACGAGAAGAATAATAGCAAGGAGAAAAGAAAAGAACAGTAGCAATGCAGACTAACGATAGGAGCGAAAGAAAACAAAGAAAGAATACACGCATATATGTACACATACGTATTACTCATCTCGTTGAAACATGGAAGTTCGACGCTCAATTTATTGACCTTTCTTCTTTTCTCTCAGTATGCCCTATTTGTTGCTTCGTGCTTTTGTTCTTTCTATCTTCCTGTTCTATTCTAATTATTCGGTTCACTATTAATATTCATGATTCTAGGGGTCAACATTTCTTTTAGCGTCGATATCGTCGTAGGACTAAAGAAATCTGATGTTTTTGATCGGATATTAAATTCTCTAAGTGTAGAACAAACAAATGCAAACAAAAACTTTATACTAATATCATATAGTTTTCAGTCGATGAATACTTTCTGATTTTCACTAATTCCACAGAGTTTCTTTTTCAAATAAAAGTTGAGAACGAATTGCGGATGCCGAAGTGAAACATACCTTCAGTTGCTTTATACTGCTGTCAGTGATTTTCTTTTATCAATGATGATCACGCAATCGTAATCTTATTTTTATACTCACTTTCTGACTTGTTGCTCCCTTGCTTTCTTCTTTTTCGCTCTGTTAAAAACATATGACGCGTGTATGCAAATATCTACCTGTAAATGTTGACTCATTTTTCTCATCGTAATTATTATTGACCCTACCGCAAAGTTTTACTCTTGCTTCTGAAATGTATTTTCATCTATCTGCATCCTGTGAGAACTCATGAGCGTTACAGCAGAGCGAAATCTAGATATATTTGCAAATACTTCATTACATGACTAATGAACGCTTATTACGTCAGGTATATGAGTGCATACGCTGCTGCATAATTTCTTCATTGTAATTCTGTACGCAAACGAACTATCATATGCGTCATTTTATCTAAACGTATGAAATGTACACAGCGGCGTGAATCAGTTTTCATCGACTCAATATTACAAAATAAACATCTGTTAATATTCTTTATAAACATTATCGTATTAAATCGTACCTATAGAGAATATCAAACGGCAGACCAAGCAAACGATTGTTCTCGTTCCTCGATAAAGGCTGTTACACCTTCTTTTCGATCATCTATGTCGCTTTGTTTTCAGATAAGGTAATCACTCACTATTGTCTTACTGTCTTTTTTTCATGATTTCGAACAGTCATTTGTATTACTAATCTTTGTGTAAAAAGTACGTTGGGACAGATTGACTATATAAGATAAGACGGTTAGCGCCTCATGGCGAATTCGTCACGATAAATAAAGCGATTTATAAAAGAAAAAAAAAACTAGATGGTATTCGAGTTTCACTTGTATATGAAATGCGGTGCGAAGCATTAATTCGTATCTCTTACGAAAGATCTTTCATTCAGAGAAATATTGAATAATTTTTGTGCAGCCATAGTGATATTATATTCATTACTCTGAATGCTACGCTTCGCATCGCATTAAAAGAACTCGCGACGGTCTACAGACCCTCTGCTTCGCATCGCATAAAAAAAACTCGCGACGGCCTACAGACCCTCTGCTTCGCATCTCATTAAATATGCGCCATTCAAGAAAACGCCATAAAAAATGTAATCTGGTGAATATTGTCGATGATGCACAGTGACACAAAAAAAGTGTCGCCGTCAGAAAATATTCCGTTGAAACATGATTTGTACGAGTATGCAATGTAAACAATAGCACACTTAGGCACATATGGTCAGACGAATCATTACTTTCTTAAAATAGTAGACTGTAAATTTCAAGTTTTTTGTTACTGAGTCATAACCGACTTACAACATAAGTAAAATCTTGCCTAATCCATTAGATGATACAAAATTGATCTATCAGATGACACAGAATAAATTGCAGTCTTCATTTTTTAGATACTGCTTTGCTCATGCTCGCTTGAACATGGGAAATTATATACCAAAATGATAGTACGTCATCAAGTCATGGATTGAAACGATCAACAAGACTGATTCGATGAAAGTGTGGGTGTAATTAAACAGCGAAGTCAAAAGCGCATGCGCATACACATCTCAGCAATCGTATTGATTCTATTATAAGAATTTTGACTTGTGTTTTATTATTGTAAAAATTACTGATAGTACTAAAATGCTATGATGAAACATTTGATTTCGCTTGAAAGCGCAAGTGGCAAATTGAATTATTACTATAGAATTCATTTTGAACAATATATAAAATATCCAAGTATACCATGAAAATGATGTTTTAATTCCTCAGAAGACTAAACTTCGAATAAAAAAGAAAGAAATTATAAATTAGATCTGAAATAAAACTATTATCATAATTAGAGAATTCATTTTGAACTAATCGATGATGTATCAAAGTGAGCCTGTTGATTATAAAAATTCGTGAATTTTTTTTCCTTTGTATTATTTCAATGATGATAATAACAGAATCTTTTTTTCATGAGCTTCTTCAAAGTTAAATCACAAGATAAAAATACAAAACGTTTTTTTATCGAATATAACAACAATTCCGAGTTTGGAAATATTCAACCGTCAACGACCTACTCCATCTGATTCATGAAATGATGATTATACGGATACATTCACTCCTATCAGTTCTTTCAGAATAATATACTATTTCTGCATACTTTGAGAAAAAAATCAATGTCTCAATACTTCTCTTTACTTTATCACAATAGATCAAACGAGCAAAAACATGGTCAGCTGCGGTAAACTGACGTAGTAATTGCGCAAATGTCTCATACGACACTATAGACAAGTATCCGTCACTTGATTAAGCAAGCGATATAATCGATATCAAGCGTGCTTATATGATCGCCGAAAGAAGACTATTACCCTCACAAAATACGTTCATTCACACACATTTTGTAGTTCATTACGTCACACTTCATTGTCCTGACGCTGGTCAATTGTTGTGCTACATAATCATGTGTAACAATATTCGCATAAGAAATATTCAATACAATGATAGTCTACATTGATAGTTATTTTTTCAATGCCATAGTTTTCATTGAACGAATTGCAGATTGTGAGCAATACATTAAATAGATCAAGAATAATTACTGAACCGAGCTTTGTGAGAAACCACTTTCCGCTGAATCAAACGATGGAGCACGTCGGATAAGATTTTTCTTCTTACGTATGCAGCAAAATAGAACGATACAAACAGGAAATAAAATAATTAATGTACCACCGATACTGATATAAATCCATATACGGCTAGAATTTCCTAAAAATATCCAAGGCAACTTTAAATGCAAAGAATAACGAATTAGACTGAATTAAAGCTCTCAGTCAGAAAAAGTCTCACCTGTATTATTCATCATAGTTGTTGTTTTTGGCGGTGGTGGATCTAAGATACAAATGATAATATTTGCCAAGTAAAATATTTTAATAGGAAATTAAGGAATGATTATTTACGAAGTTCACAAAGAATATATGTTTTCCAACTACAAAACCAATCATGCAAACAAACGGATGAATCTTTAAAACATGCTAAACCAACGCATGCTTGACGTTCTTCCGTTTCTTTTAATGCTACATAATTGGGTTCCTGGCCAAGCAATGAATCTTGTTTACTAGATATTTTACCATACAACAAACTAGATTTTATATAACATTCTCGTTACCACCAATATCGACTACTTGTTGTTAAAAGTGGTCCATGTGAAACTATATCATATGTTCCTACACGAGACCAATTCGTTAATCTTGCGCCTATCCATATACTTGCAAAACGTGTACCATTTTGTGGAGTTCTTTGAGTCATTCTGCAAAAAACAAAATATAATAATTCAAACAATCATTTCCGTCTAGAATCTACTCAATGTCTTTAATATTCGATCGTATTAAATCAGCAACGAATTCAAACTGAAAACAATCATAACGGGTTATCGGAAACTTTTCGGGCAACATTTTTTGCTCTTGATTAATAGAGGTTCAAAAAGTTAGCATCTGTTGTTGTATGAGAGAGGTGAATGCATTCTTGAAATGATTGAAAACATATTTAGAACGTCGTAAACTTATTTTCGTATTTTCACTACCGAGATTCGAACTTTGCAATGAAAATGACTAAATGCATGTTTGTTCTCGTCATAGGTCAATTTTCGTTTTTGGAACGATCAACTATTTTTTCACTACTCTCGTGTATAAACCGATTCAGCTTTCTAAAACTACATTCTGAAAGAGCAAAAAATGTTGCCCGAAAACTATTCGATAATGCGTTTGCAAATAACCTCTTGATCTTCACGAATAACAAAAAGATCTCCACCATCGTTTTGACAAAGTTCACGTGCTGGATCCCATGCCAATTGGTTACTTTCACCCAATATCAATTTAACACATCTATATCGAGCACGTTTCGATTCATTTTTTCAATAATCATTCACTCACTTCGTACCTATCAAATCGGTATAAAAACAAATGAGTGAATAAAAATCGAATTTCTACCGGAAGTTACATAATGCATTGGACATACGATACATTTTTCGCCAGTCTTTTCATAGGAAAATTACCCATTCAATGATAAAAAAAAGAAAAAGATGATCCCTATTTTACCCAAAATGCAATAGATGTTTTGGGTTCAGTTGCTTTACCAATCTTCGAGCACAGACAATATCCATTAAAACATTGTAGTGGCTCAGGACACGATGGTTCATCGGACGTACATGTTTCATTAAATGTTCGAACTAATTATAAAATTGTATCAACAATAAATAGCAAAAACTCGTACCTAATCGGTTTTCAATAAACACAATAAGATTAACTATGAAGAAGATCTCAATGATATATGACATAGAATATCAACGTTGATACAAACAAAAGAAGTAGTTTATTGTAAAATAAGCGCCTATTAATTTATCAATCAAATATTTGTTTAAGTTTACATGAAACTTGTCAAGGTTTAACCTTCGATCATAGCTACATGTTTATGCTTTTTCCATATGTTACTGTTAGATCTACAACATTTTGTGAAATCGATAAAAGTCGTCGATGACGTGTCATGAAATCTCTTATCTTAAAAGGATCTTATCATTTTTAGCATCCAAGTGTTATTCTATTCGAAGGCTAATTTCTTTGATGATCGAACAAGATTTTTATCCGTTATTCTAATAATAAGTAGCAAAAAATGAGCTTGATGCTTAAATTCGTGAGTTATTGAAATGTATCGAGTAAATAGCAAAAGAAGAATTTTTAACATATAGGTGCCTACGGTTTATCACCTTCGTAAGCCTACACCGAGTAAATATCAACTGAGGTAAACGATAAGACCATAATCCTTGTATTTTTGTTTATGTAAGAGAAGAGAACATTTTGTATGTCTCTCATCGAAACTTCAATTTCAGATGCCACTTTTGATCTTTTGAATAATTCTGCCAAGTGCAACTGATAAACATTTCAATTTCAACAGAGCATTGAAAATTATTCTTGCGATATGTATTTATTTATTTGAAGTACCTTTCTTCAATGTGCCTTAGGAATCGATACACAACCAATATTTAATCTCTCAATGGATTCTTTCTATCGTTATGCGCGCTTTAGAAACGAATCATATGCTAAAATAGTTTACTATTTTTGTTGATCTGTGTTAGTAATTATGTCGAAATGTTAGAATAGACGGAATCAATACTGCCATCACGATATGCTGGATTTTGTCGTAGTCTTCGTTGCTTTACGAATCGATAAGTAAAAATAAGTGCCGTGCAACACATGCATATCATTAACAAAGTGATAAATCCTCCTCCAATCAAGATCGCCCAACCTTGAGTTCCAACGCCTGAATAAATTCATCTTCAAATGAATATAAATACGTACGATGAACTTATCTACCTGATAGTATAGATTCGTCGCGCGTTGTTTCCAATGAATCTTGTTCTTCATCTATGTAAATTTAGTTTATGAATCTGTTTTCTTTCTGCGTTCTGAAATTTATAACTCACCGATGAATTGTAACTCTTCGGGTAACTCAAAATTAACTAGAAACAAAAAATAAGGATTTACAAAATAATTTTGCAAAATTTCTAGCTACATTGATTTAGATAATCTTGTAATTCTTGAGCTTGAGCCGCTGCAAGTAGATCTTGTTGTCGTTTTTTTTCTGCTTTTTTCTTCTCTTGTACATGATCAATAATACACCATATTGGTATAAAACATTTCCAAAAGTTCCATCTCTCCATCGTACTTTCAATTAATTCTCTTTCTGTCATTGCTCTCTCTACGTACGTAAATTACAATACAAATATTCCCATTGAAAAATCCACGATGTTTACTTTGACATATAAATGGATGATTTTCTATGCACGGTACTCGTTTTAAACATAACGTTTGATCATTGGAACGTACTGTTAATATAATACAATTTAATTGAAGATCTTCAATGGTTGTACTTGCACTATCGCATAGATTCTCGTTTGACCATTCTACATAGAATTCATAAATAGAAAGACAATTCTTCAAACAGATTCAACTATTTTCATCTTGAACAAATCTTTGGCGATACGAATTCCGAGTGTTGGATTCTCGTTAGCCCTTACGCCAATGGGGAAAACAGAATAATCGAATCAAAAATTTAGAAAGTCAACCAAATCATAGATTCCCATAGGCTAAATTATAATCGACTGGTTAGTCTGATTCCGATTAAGGCATTGACACAACATGACGAAATATAATATGAATATCAGCTAATTAGATAATCAACATTTTTATGACCTTTCCTCGAGCTCCATGACTGGTATGTCAGCGAGCAGAGTGAACAGTCATTCTACTCACTCCTAATGTTCCGTTTACGAAACTATTGAGTTACAGTCGAAAAAGTTATCTTTGAAACTTGAGAACACTGTTTTTCTCAAACATTAAATACGCGATTCATATAAAAGATTTGTCGTTATACAGGAAATCAGATATAGACTTAGCCTAGTCAAGCCTAAATCAATAGATGTCTATAATCATCTTACTAGCATTTTCAATCCAAGAACCTCGTTGAATATAATCGAAATAAATTTCATCGTCATTTTCTAATTCAGTTAATTTGTTCTGAACTGATTGAAATGTTATAGAATCCGGCAAAGTTAAAAGCTGTGCAGAACTCGTTTGACATGCTTTATAACCATTATACCATGAAACATCGCCTGTCTGTGACGTTGTAAATGTAATACATTTTGTTTCTTCTGGAAGATAATACCAATCCGATTGACATTGATTATTAGGAGGAGGTGAAGCGTTGTCTTTTGTTATTAATTATATAAATGCGAAACAAAAAAAATGAATTGATTTCAGTATCTACCTGTGAATATTAAATTAACTATACAATGAGCAGTAAAAATGAATTGTAACAGAAATCTAGTAGATGAACTTAGCATATTGAATATAAGATTAAAAAATGCGCTTATTTCTAGTTATCATCGGAGAATTTTGATAGTTATGCTAAGTAAACATTTCTATTCTAAACAAAATTAAAATTCCTTTTACAGTCAAAGTAATTAGTTTTTTTTATCAGAATGCTTCTCAGTATTTTTGTATACACATTATTCACAAGAAATTTGAAAGTTTAATTTTCTATTCTCGAGTAGCTCGGCGATTTAATCGCAACCCTTAACCTATCGAGAAAAAAAAATAACACCAATTCCTCAGGCAGTTTATAACTACAAGAGAAAATTCAATATAGCAGAAGAAGAATTTTCAATGCTCCATTGGAATATGTGAAATCGTTCGTAAAGATTAATATGAAAATATTTACTAATTTTATTCAATCTTGCAGCTAGGTATATGCTTCTTAATTCTGAGATAAATAAATATGATGAAAGTACAATCATTAAAATAGTTTTGTTTCCTACGTAGTTTATTAATAACGAGTAAGTAATTACTTGAAAACAAAAATCTATCGTGACAAAACTATTCAATAACATATGTTGAATCATTTTATTTTTCTTCTAATGCACTTACAGTCTAATCTATCTTTGTTTATACTTGAAAATATGAATGGCAGTATTCTTTTATAGATTTAATGATATAACTTGATAGGGAACTCGTAGAATAATCCATTAGAAACAGTTGTCACTGCTTATCTCAGTACGCAAGTGCGTTATATTGCATTTCACGGTCATGTTATCAAGGCTGTTATGAGTAATAAAACTTTACACAAGAACATAATCATTTTATTCTTATAAAAATCACATCAAAAGTAAAATAAACACTTATCAAACTGATTTTTTTCTTCTGAAATCTGACTCCGAGAAAACGAAAACATTTACAATCTAAATAGTGTTTGTCGTTTTTATTATTTTTTCTAAGCCAACAGAAAAATGTCACTATGATATAATTGATATATGGGTATTTTATTTTTTTATTTTTCGCTTCCATTCTTTCTATGATTGTGCTCGTTATTACTAATATCGTTATTGACAGGCGGCGTTTCGTTACATATCTAATAATAGCAGAACAATTGTGAGATAATGTCATCGACAGTAACATTGGTAAACAAGAGAAAAAAAAATAGAATAGCCGAATTTCGTTCTTGAGATCTTAAGATAAAATTCTTTCCATGACCTTTCTCACAATTACTATCATGTCATTGGAATAGAACGATAGAAACTTTTTTCTTTTGAAGGCTTCGTCTAGTTTATTTTAATTTCTATCTCTATTACAAAACGCCTTAATTCTATTTAAATCAAATGCTTGATTAAGATACAAACATTCATATCTTATTTTTAAATGTATTTCCTTTCTTATCTTGATTTTCCAGAACAAAAAAAAAGAGAGAGAAATTTTCAAGTAGCACAAATGAATACAATAGACAAAACAACAAAAATAATAGACACAAAAAAAATGAGTATAAGGTTAATCCCACTGAAGATAATAAAAAAAAACGCGCACGAAAAAAAGTAAAAGACAACTAATCCTTATACATAAAAGAAAAGAAGAAGAAGAAACATCTATATGGCCATGTAATTGTTTTTCTTCAAATATATATACTTATTTTGTTATATATATATATATGTGTCTGATTTATTAGCAGAATAATAGGAAAATGACAAAAAAGAAAAGCGATTCAACCTAAAAAGTTATATGAAAAAAAACGAAAACAAATGTAAGGATGTTGTGTTCGATGGCAAAAAAGAACAGGAGAGAGAGAGAGAGAGAGAGAGACAAAGATGAATTTTTCACAGAATTAAAACGAGAATTTAGTAGTATAATAATAACAGTCAAAGACAATCGTCTAGATACGAGTTACACACAAACACACAAACTTTTCTATGTCTAGAAAGAACAACAGACAAGAAAAAGGTAAAAGGAATTTCATTTCTAATTTAATAAAAAGGAACAAGAACACGAACAAAAAAAACGAGAAGGATGAGCCGGTGTTTGCTTGATCATCGTCGAGAATGAGTTTTCTGGTTTTTTTTTTTTTGAAAATTTATTTCTATTGGAATTTCTGGTTGAACAAGGCTTTTTCATCTCCATTAGCATCAATAAGTCGTGTAACCATATTTGTACCTGTACCCCAAGTTTGAACACCCTCAGCTACTAATGTTTCTTTTTCATTGATTGAACCTTTACTTGCATTACGACTTAAAATACGTATGCGTGATCGAGATTTGAGTACAAAGTTATCCGGAAATTTATAGACAATATCGTCTTTTGAATCAATTTTTCGTCGTAATGTCCAGCCTTTTAAGTCTTGATCTTTGCCTGTTGAACCGGCATTCTCGATGACAACAAAGTTACCTTGTGGATCTACCTGATCAATAGCAATAGGACCTAAAAAGCAAAATATTTTTTCTTGTATTTTTCAATTTTCTTCATTTCGTTATCAATCATGCTTTGCACATGTCAATATGAAAAGAAGACCAGAAGTTTTTCGGGTAACTAAATAGGATATTAAGAGAAATTTCTCACGCAATACAACAGTGCAATTGTCGTGCTAATGATAAACGAAGACGACAGTGGACGGTGTTGAAGGAAGAAATAGAAAGAACACATTTTTATACATATATGAATCAATTTTACACATGAATGAATCAACTATTTCCTAATATATATATATATATGTTATAATAAAAATAAAGCAATAATAGTAATAATAATCAAAATTTATTTATTGGTCAAAGCATGAGCTCCCGCTATATGTAATTTGATGAGCAAATAAAAAATACAAAAAAAAAGAAATTATTATAAGCTCACACTTATACTTAGTATGGAAGAAAAAGGACAATGTTTGTACGTAGAAATTTCTTATGTTTAATTGTCTAAATGAAACAAGAAAAAAAGAACATGCAGTCAAACATAAGGCCTCTAGAGACAAGAGAATATTAAATTAACCCTTGGTGTTTTTCCTATTAGTAAAATAATTCCCGTGTTCAATTTTTGAAGGTGTCCAAAAAGATAATTAAAATTCAGTTTTGTGTGAAAATGATTTACAAAGACATATCATTTTTTTTAATAAACGAGAGCAACATGTAGAGTTTGATATACATGTGTTGTAATTATAACCGTCCATCTGCGACTAATCGTGCGTAATGAGAAAGATGTTTACTATCGTCGCTCAGAATGAAAAAAAACGGGCTATTGGCCGATGGGGTCGATGAGCAGGAGCAAACACAATATCTCATCACGATTATCATCGAACAAGCGGGATGACAAAGAAATAGATAAAAAAATGACATAGGATCAAACGAACAATATTAGTCTCGCTCTTGAGTATCGCGTGCAATAAGAAGAAAAAAACAACATGCTGCCTTCTATTGTAATTATTATTTTTGTTTTTCTTATTACTTACAGAAGCAGCAACAAAACAAGAAAGATTATAAAGGATTTATAATAGGAGAAAATGATTAAGGGTTAAAACTGAAAATATGGTTTATTTTTTTTCAAAAATAATATTCTAAAAAATATTATTATGATTAGATCTCAATGCGAAAAGATAATAATCAAATTTTCACTGACCTCGAGCCGATTTTTGAACGGTCATCTTTTTAGTTGACACGTCCGATGCTGCAGTATCATATCGAGCGGTCGAACCTCCAACTGCTGTTCCCGTTTGATAATGATATGCCGATGAACTTCTTCCACTCGTGAAACCTTCGCCACCTTCAACTCTTTGAAGATGTCCTTCTTCAACTTCAAGTAAACGTCTGTATGTATTGATTTCGAATTTAAGTGAAACATTGTTTTCAAGTACAGCGCTAATAGCTGCTTCACGTTGTTCAGCTTGAGCACGTAAATCAGCTAGTTCGCGATCGCGTTCATTTTGGGCTCGACTATGTTCAGATGCAATTTGTTCGAAATCATCTTCTAATTTTCGAAGAAGATTTGCTAAATCCGAATGTTCCTTTTGTAGTTGATTGTAAACATCACGATTTTCACTCAATAATGATTTCAATGATGATAAATCCATAACTTCAACAGTGCCTAAACGACGAGCTTCATCCATTTTACGTTTTTGTTCAGCTGCTTGTTCACGGATTTCTTCGGTTTTGATTCGATAATATTCTAAAATAGTTGATTAACAAAAAAAAAGAATTAATCTACAAAAGATTTTTCTTTTCTATTTTTTCAAACCTTCTAATTCGCGTCGTTGTGCTTGTGAAAGAGCTTCAAAATCATTCTTAATATCTCCAATGGCACGTGTTAACTCTGTTCGATAAAATTGACTAACGTCAATAGGTAATGTACCGAGTGATGCCAATTCATTACGTTCTTCTTCATGAACAGCTTTCATAAAAGCTAATTGTTCTTCTAATGTTTGTAATTCATTTTGTATCATAACACGTCCCATCGATTCATTATCAAATTCATTTTTCAAGTTTTCTAATTGATCCAAAAGACGTTTAACTTCATTTTTACTTCGTTCAATTTCTTGTTTTTTATCGTCAAATCGACTACGTAATGCATCTAATTCGGAGCCGCTACCTTCAAATTGTTGTTTAAGCATAGCAAAACGATTACGATCAAGATTCACTAATTCATTGGCAAAATCAGTTTGGTGCTTTATCAAAGATGCATCATATTCAGCACGCTTAGCACGTAATTCAGCTAAAGCCTTATCACGTGTGACATCATCGATTTGTTTTCTTAATGAAACCAAAGCTTGATCATATTGATCTTTAACTTTGCCAGAATCGAAGCCTTAAAGAAAAACATTCAATTATCGTTGTTGTTGTTGTTATTATTTATATTTTACCCCATTTTTGTTTAAGGTCATCGAGTTGAGCTTGTAATTTACGATTTTGTGTTTCAAGAAATTTGACCCGATCAAGATAGGCACCAAATTTTGTGTTGAGTTCTTGCATTTCACGTTTTTCGTCTTCATGTTGAATAGCTAAGTTACGTACTGCTTCTAAGCCAGCACGTCCACCAGCTGGATATTCACTCGTTCGAACGCCACGTTCGATTATTGTTCGACGAATAACGGTTTGATCACCACGTTCAGCCATAAGTTTTTGTTTTTTAAATAGTAAGATTAATCAGAAGAAGAAATAAGGCTAGAAATAGTTTAAAATAAAAAAAAAAGAAATGTAAATGTATGTATATCTTTATTACGTTTAGATCGAAAAGCAAAGAAAAAGAAGAAGAAGAAAAAGAAAAGAGGTCAACTAAAGATTCTTTTTCTTATATCTCGAACGGCTTTCTCTGATACAGTTGAGTGAACTCATGACGACATACTATTTTTGTCTAGTAGTTTCTTCTCAATATGTATGAATGTATGCATTCGATACGAGAGAGATCAACAAACGGGGCCTTCTCATGCTCTCGCCTGCTCGACTCGTTCGTATGTAAGGGTTATTTAAAAAAAAGCGCGCACACGAGAGAGAGAGAAAGAAAAGCATGAATAATCAGTCGACGCTTCTTTTCTTCCTTCTCTTCTCCGGGTCGCCATCCATATAGCCAGCCAAACAATCTAATTGTATTCTTCTTCTCTTCGACATTCCTCTCTTTTTTTTCTCCTTCTCTCTCTCTCTCTCCGTTGATATGGCGATCGGCACAAAGAGCAAAAAGAATACACACACGCACGTATAACACGATCGAGAGATGATGAAGGAGAACGAAGATGAATAACGATAGAGAGAAAGAAAGAAAAGGTAGAAGGTATATGGTGGGTGTCTGCGGTAGTGGTGGTGGTTAGCAATTAGAATTTATTCATTCATTCGTCTGCGTTCGCACGACAATGAGAACGAGCAAATAATAAATAACGCACACATATTTTAACTACGCTTATACATATATATATAAATAAATGTATACATATATTTATGTTGTTTTGTTGTTCCGGTAATTTTACTTATGCGCATGAGTAGACTTTTGGATGTAGGAAAAAAATGCGGTTTTTGTCATTTACATACATTTATATGCAACTGATTTACTCCTCCTACTTCTTGTTCGTTAGTTATTAGCCCAGATGGTAGCGAGCAGAAAATAGAAAGCGTTCTGTTTGTTCTGTCCCGGGCTATCGAGAGAAAGAGCTGCCCAAGAACAAGAAAAAACGTTCCAGTCAAAAAAGAGGATGTGCAAGATGAGAACGAACAAACAAGATTCTATAATTTTTCCCGTTCTTCTTCCTTCTTCTGGTAATGCGGTTTCTTCTTCAAATATAGCTTAGATTATTCTCGCGGCGCAATCAAACCCGGCAGGAACCGATGAGCGATAGAGGAAGAAAAAGAGAAGGAAGAGAAAGAAAAACAAAAAGTATTTTTTGCACAATAAATAAAAATTGTTCTATAAGCCTATAGTGTTGTCACAGGAAACACGGGCAATGGGATCGACAGATACAATTGAAAGATAATTATTTTTTTTTTCAAAGCAAGGCAATATCCTTCAGTACACATTGATGACATAAAGAATATATCATTGAAAACAATTCATCATCGTCTCCACTCACTTTAACATTTATTGACACATGGTTGTCTGTCTATCTAACAAACGAACTGATGGAGTGACCCTGTAGACATTGATTGTTGCGAGTTGTATTTATTTCTTTATGCTTATTTCTCTCGCTCGTATATTATGCTGCTAAGCAGCTCAACCAGTCAAAGGACTTCTTCTCTCGCGCTCTCTTGCCACTTCAAATTTCGAAGTATGGCCATAGGTGAATATAGTGACTATGTGCCCAAGCAGCAATATGTTTATCTTCGTGTTACACCACTTCGCTTATATTTATTCGAGATGGTTGTTGTTCTAGTTCAGGTAACACACACACACACACACACACATATATATATATATATATATGTACAATAAATACGTCTACTTTTCTACTTGGTCAGTCGCATATACCTAAAACAATTCTTTCACCCTGTTGAATACAGGCGCTTCTAGCCAAAAGAAATTCGACTTATGCGTGTTAAATTTTCGTCATTTACAGCGAAACAATGACACAAAGAGAGAACGAAAAAAGTTCGTGGTAAAATCACTACTATAATTTCATCGTCAGTTCGCTATTCTTATACTCTGTGCCTAGCTGTCTATACTTTCTATCCTCGCGAGCGCGCGCGCGCGTACCTCTCTTTATTATTGAGAATGAGTTGTGTGCTCTCATGATTTACGGCTTTTTTTTGTGTGGTTAATCAACATTCGTCGATGTTGTTGTTGCGGTCTCATATTGAGTTTCATAGTGCAAACGCCCACCACATCTCTCTCTCTCTCTCTCTCTCCCCTTGGGTCTCGCTCGCAATTCGATGAAATGTATGAATAAAATATGAAAAAAGAAGAAAAAGAAAATAAAACAAAACAGTAAAGAGCATTAAAATGTCTTCACAAAAGTGACAAGAATAGGATAATTGTGTAAAAAATAGTAAGATAAATATATAATAGAAAAAACATTGTCGTGATATCGAAAGATTATCGATTAAAGAAAATAAAAAAGATGTTACTCATTAGTGCAGCATACTTCGATTAAGAATTGGCTAAGCGATTGACTTATAAGTCATCTAGATAACCTATTGGCCATGAAAAGAGTATATTTATACATTCATTTTGTTTGATTGCTTTCATTGCTTCAATGAATCAAGACGGAAAAAAAAGAAAAACATCAATTTTTATTTGTGCATATTTGCCTGAATAGCTAATATCATTTTATATAGGACTGGCGACAATAAATGAGTTTATGTATTTTTTGGGCCTCAACTAGATATATACAAAGACATAAAAGCAATATTTAGATTTGCTTCAATTCCTGATGTTAAATTGACCGATTCAAAGTCTTAATAGAAATACATGCATTCTCATGCTGAAAGCAGAAGAAAAGATACAGACAAATTAAATATCACCGAAAGAGGTGCCGTGTAATGATGGATTAATAGAAAAAAGAATAGGCAGGTTCATGACAATAGCGTTTCTCGTATACCAGTAGCGACTCTTTTTTCTATTTTATTCCTGATGATAACTAAGGGCAGTAATCAATCATCATTCAATGAATATTAACATCAACAGATACTGTTCTATTTCTATTTTCTTTCTTGTATCTATCTTTTTGTGGGTCGTTTACATTCAATGATTGTTCGTTTTTAGAAGTGATATGAATATAATACGTACCTTCTTAACACGAAGATGTTGATTTATTTAAATATCAACGTTCGAACTTTGCTTCTTCTTCTCGTAAATGTGTAGATTTTTAGTAAAACAAATACTAAAATAAAAAATTGACTACGATTATGACTCTTGTTACTGTTGTTATTATTGTTCTTTTTATTAATTTTTTTCGATGTTCTGATCACACAGGTACAAGCAAATAAGAGCACGAGAGAAAAAATAACGAAGGATCGAAATGAGAAAAAGAAACGACAACTGCCAACATATGAAGTAGCTGTATAGCACACACTTGTGTGTCCTTTACTTATTTTTCGTTCTCTTCTCAACTTAATACATACGCAATCAAATAATAAAAAAAAATGTAAAAAGGATATTGAGTGGGAGAGACAGCAAAATTTGAAGACGATGTGCTATCTGAAATTTAAGACGAGAGCCCTCAAACGTATGCATAGAGAATAACAAATGAATTGTTAGTTGATCTTATGCAATAAACAACTTTTATTGTAAAAAAATACAACAGCTGAGAGAAAGAATTTCATGTGCAACAGACACATTGATTTTATTTGTATACACATCTGTTGCTTTTGCTCGTTTATTTTTTTCTTGTTTTGAAATTGACTCTTATATTTCAAGATGAAAAAATTGATAATTAGCGCGTGTGTATGTGTGTCTGAGTGTAATATTTATTAACGAGCAAAATAAAATATAATATGAAGCCGCTAAAAGCAACTATTAATTTGATATTTGAGATAAATTAAATAAATTTATTTTTCATGCAAAAAAATAACAGAAGCATTATTCAATTGTAAATTGCTTCTTAGCATATGTATGAAAAAAGAATCTAATGTCGGCAAAATAATCATGAATGGTATGCGCATAATAAATTCAAAAAGGTTTCGTCTTATTATTTTTATTTCATTTGAAAAAGAAACTATATGATCATCATGTAACATTCTTTAAAGCGCGTCTATATCAATAATCATTCAATATCAATATGAATAAAGAAGGAAGGAAGGCGTTATACGTGGTTTCTTTTGAAGAAAAAAAGAATAAAAGAGAAATGTTGACGTAAAACTTTAAATAAAGTAAAGCGCATTATAACACCCTTCGTTTTTCATTTGTATACGAACACATAACGGAAGATTATGACCTTGTTTATCGGTATATCTTTACATACTTCACATTACTTCTAGCTGTGCATTCGTTTACCCATTCAAACACTCTAATCTCTCTGCATATTCAAACCAAAAAAAAACGAAGAAAAAAACAAGCTGTTGCCCACTCATAACCCATTTTCATAGTGGTGGTTAAAAGTGCCTTGAAAATGAAATGGTTAGGTCGTTTTTGTTCACTGACAATTGATTAAGTGATTTATATAAATTGTATCATGTTAAAATGAAGAAAAGGAAAGAACATAAAAGCACTTGCATCTAAGCTCAAAGTTAGTTTTTCATAACATAAAACAACAAATTTTATTTCATTTCATTTTAAAAAGTCAAAAGTAAGACACGCTTACATAAATACATAAAATTTACAACCGAAACCAAAAGCTGTCGTCATTTTCATCTTCAATAGTATCAAAAGAATATAAATTTTTTTTTGCTTTCGGCCATTTACGAAGATCATGTGAATGTCCACCTAGACCGGGATTATTTTTTGAGTAAAGATCGAATTCCTTCATGAAATTATATGATTCTCTATAAGCAGTCTTCTTGATTTCAGCCGCATGTTTTAATGCTTCCCATAGAGTCTCATCTTTTTTATGTGGTTTTTCTTTTAAATCAACACGAATTTTATCAATCACCATCGACCATTTACAATAGATTGTCTAAACAAAATCAAAACTATTTTCTTTTTTAGAATTCCACTTAACTTACGTGAAGAATATTTACATAAGCACTTCGTATGTCACCAATCGATAGAATATCATGGCCGAGAATCAATGCTTGTTTAATAACTTGTTTAAAATTTGGTAACTGTTGAGAAATTTTATTTAATTTTTTCAAATCATCATCATTAAATTCTTCATCATTAAACATAGTCTTTGGTAATAAACCCCGAAGAATTGTTATATAACAAGCACCAATAAGTCGAATGAATTCACAAAAACGTTCACCATCATCAATACCGACGAATTGCTGCGAACAATTAAGTACAGTCGTTAACGCCTCTAGACGCCGAAAGGCAAAAATGTAATTGGAAAAGTTCATTTGTTTTTTATGTTTAAGAAATATTCCTTTGGCTATATCAATAATACAATTTTCAAGAACTTCTAATTCACCATAGCAAGCAAAATCATTATGGATATACATCTAAATAAACAAAACATAGAGAATAATTGAAAAATATGTTTCAAACTACATGCATCATATGAATCCGGATCGACGTGTTGTAGAACTTTTAAATATTTACGGCTCCAAAAACGAGCTGTTTTTGAAATCATTTCAGGTTCAGTATTTTCATAGACGATGTATTGTTTATATTTTGAATGAACTGTACCATCGTGATGTTGAATAACTGCTCCAATTGGCCATGGTCCTTTTTCTTTTCCTTCATCATCGTCTTCGTCATCGTCCTCTTCGCTACTTGAAGATTCGTCTTGTTGCACAACTTTTTCTTCAAGGATTCTTGCTTTTTTTGCTGGTTTCGTTACATTTTGATCAATAGAATTAAAAGCAAGCGAACTTGTTGCAATCGACGGTGAAAATTGTTCAAGTTCATTCTCTTTATTTTCGGTATCAAGTGGACGTTTCGTCATTTGTTTGTATTTAATGCAAAAATAAATATTGTAAAGGTTATATGTAGACACAAAAGTGATATAGGGGTTGAACTGACTATTTAACAAACAAAGGGTATAATGTTAATAGAGATCAGTGGGTATATATTTTAAAAATGGGTTTATACGATAGATGTCACACGGTGAGTAGTAAAGTAAAATGGTTTCATTCTATTCGATATCTAATTGAATAATAAATAAAGACATCGTTCAAAAGAATTTAACACAGTATCAAATATACGATATATAGCTAGTACTGTATTGAAGTAATATAATATCCTTTGAAATTACTAAAAGATCTAAGGCTTATTAAGACAATAGATTGATTGCTTTCGATAGCTTAGCAAGATTATGACTGTCTATAACTTTTTTTAATTCGAAATTTGTGATCAATTCCAACAAAGAGAAAGGATTTCAAAACAAATACATCATCTGTTATTTTCCTTTGTACTCAAAGAACATACATAATTTATCGATCTGTCTGTAAATGGTACTACAGAAAAATCAAAAAGACATCTGTTTGATGGCCTAGGAAATTCTTCTTTGCTATATTACAATCGCTGAGGCGAGATTTTTACTATCTTACTTTGCAGATGCGCAATCGATTGCTTTTCAATATGGAATCATCGCTGTTGCTTTTTTTTTTTGAATAATCAAGGATTATTTATTTTTTTAAGAAAACAAAATTAGTCGTGCAAAAAAAAATACAAATAATAATATCTATTCTACAGCTATCTTCATTGATGTGATCAAACGAGTAGTGAGAAAAAAATAGAAAAATCCGTTGTTTTTAAATAGTAGCTAAAGTGAGTTTGAGTTGTCGATTGATATGTCTTGATAAGTTTTGTGCATTATATAACACTTTTTCTGCTCGATTATAAACTTCATCTAATTGAGATGCTTCAGGATTATTTTGAGTCTAAATACGTAAGTTAACACATTTATAAATTGTATTTATATGTCCTACTAGATCGGAATCAGTATCGGAAGATGCAACATTGTCATTATATCGATCCCATTTATTTCTCTCTCTAAAGAAAATAGTAAAAATTATTATATAAGATAGACTGAATAAATATTTAACATTTTCTTACCCATATCCACTATCGTAACCAAGATCATCTACATGACTCGGCACTTGTCTTACTGTTGAATTGAAATGATGGCTAAAAATATTCAAAATTTAGTCGTGATTAATAGCTTTAAAAAAATCGATATGTTGATTCAAGTATATACGATAGAACACGAACCGGTGGTGATAGTTTGTCATAGTTCCACATTCAGTACAATGATGTAATTTCTCTTGAGAAGGTAATTCACAATAGACTCTAGTTGGACTTGCTGTTTTCTTAGATTCGTGTCGACTAAACATGATATGCTAATTGTTCAAGAATTTAATTTAATTTCTATTTACTAGACAATGCCTGTTTGTGAATCAACATAAAGACCGTTGAATTTATTTTGACTAACATTTTCTTGTACTAGTCCATAAGTATTTGGTCGACTTATATAGAGTGAACTTCGATAGATTTTCTGAGGACTTGACGATGGTAACGTTTGTTGATAGTATGAACTATGTTGTGTGCTTCGTTTTGGTGAAGCGAACGAATGAGAATATTTCATTTTACTACTTTCAATTTCATGCCGTCCGCTGGATGTACTTCGATGTACAGGTATTAAACGTGCTCGATGATGTAATGGCATTCGTGCTGGTTTCCAAGTATGATCACTACGATGAGCACGTTTACTAATTGAAGGTGTTGGTGGAAGTGGATCGACTGCGCCGACTACACGTGTTTTCATACTGGATGAATGAGGATCTATAAGAAAAGTGAAAAAAAGAGAAAATGATGAAAACAAAATTTTATATTTACCATAACGACCTTGGGTTTTTCGTCTATTTGATAATGAATTGTCGAATCTGTTTTATTGTTTATTTAAAGAAAAAAGCGAATTTAATTTTAAATATAGAAAAAAGAAAAGATTTTTTTGTGTGCTATTGACATTTATATGTTTAAGATAGAATAATTACCTATAAGGGCTTCTGGAGTCTGCGAAATCTGAGTTACTTGAGTTTGACGATGAAATTGATTCTAAAAGAAGAAAAAAGATTGAAATTTATTGTTTTTCTTCTGTCTATTTTTATTAGACCTTGTTCTTCATCAAACGAGTGAAAATGACTTTCATCCATTGTACTTGTATATAATTTACTGAGAACAAAACAAAACCGCAGAATATCTATCAAAATCTTCTATTTTAATGTAAATTACCTATCATGACTTAATTTAGTAAGATTTGTTGTTCCTATCCCGCTATCATAATCATTAACGCGTGTTTTCATTGAACTATTTAAATACCGAGCTGCATCGGAGAGTATCACAGGACTCGATTGTTTGTTATATTGGCGATCGTTCATGATTTTCTATTAAAAAAAAATATTTCAAGATTTAAGTTTCATTGTTACTTTTACTGCTTTTTGCTCAGGTCTTGTTTTTCGTTTTGGTCTTGTAGTTTTTTCGAAGTTTTCATAGTCTTGCCGATTGATTGGAGTTCTTTTCTTGGCTGATGGAGATTGACCATTTCTATAAGTTTCTTCTTCGATTCTATATTCATGACGTTTAACAGACGATGGGGCTATATAATCCGGCTCATATGAAGTCGATTCGATATTTTTCACCATTGGTATGGGTGTTATACTGTGACTTAGCTGTTGTTCTTCATCGGAACCCTTCAAGATTGAAAAACGTTTTTAATTAATTGCTTATACGACTTAGCTTATCAATGCTTTTTTTAAAGATACTTGTAAGAGCAAGTCATGAGAACTCTTTTAACTGGAACTGAAATAAAATCTATGAGTTTTACGTGAATAATTTTAAGAATTATAGAAAAAGATTCCCTAATCTGAAAAATGTATTCTGTGTAAGAATTCAAGTTTTAAGTTAGTGCCTATTTACAAGAAGATATTAGTTAGATTAAATAAAAGTAATGGCTTAAATCTTCTGGCAACTTCCTTCAATCAGTATAACTTCTAATCGAAACCTTTTGTTTAAATTTTCAGCCAACATTCGATCCTTTGTAAAGAGAATACAGAAAAGTGTTGTTACTATGTAAAGAAGATCTAATAGGCTGAACTTACATTCAAATAATGACCTAGAAAGTACAATTAATCCTAATCATTGTATACATTCAGCAAAGATAAAATCTATCAAAACTTCTAATTATTCTAAAAAAAACCCGTTGAACCTACCCCGGATACGTAAACATAGGGTTTTTGTTTGCTCTTCGTTGGTGTTTGATGATCATATAAACTTGATCGAGATGAATCATGCATACTAATACTGATAAATAGTAAAAATCGAAAAAAGAAAACAAAATCACAATGATTTACTTTGTTTTCATCTGTTGCGGATCATTTTCTAATTCGTTGATTCTCACAGCCCTTTGATCAATTCTATCTGTACTTTCTGAATTAACAGCATTTAATAGTTTTTTATATTGATCCATAAGATCATTGTGATTGCACAAGGACGATCGAGCAGATAATGGACTCTGATATTCAATTAGATAGAAAATATCATTTTCTTTTACAAATTTTATACATACGGAATGGCTACCATCAAGTGTCAAGCGTGTACGTTGTTCCGTCGGTGAATTTTCGCCTGATTTACCAAGTAGATTATTTGTGATTCTTTCAACGATTTCTTTTAATAAGTATTTCATGGAGTCTAATTCTGTATTTATATCTCTACAAAAGAAAATACGAGATTTTTATTATTTTTTTCAATGTGTACAGGAAATTTCATTACCCATCGAGATCAATATTTCGATAATTATCACCACCTTTTTTCTTATCCAATGTTCTTACTAATTTTTCATAATCTTGTTTAATATTTTCATAGACTTGTTTTTGTTCAGCTAAACTTAATTGATCCGTCGTCATTAATGTCAAAAATGATTTCATCTATAATAAACACAACACTGGATATGATATCTCCTCTTAATAAAAAGCTGCATTTTACCTTATTTCCTAAGGTTCTTGTTTGAACGAGTAAACTAACTGTATATGTTTCTGGTGTTATTACTTCTTCTACAATGAAATTTTCGGGTTAAGTTTCATAAAAAAAAAGAAGCACTGATTCAATCCTACCTGAATACGCAGGTGATATACCTAGAAATAACAAAGCAAAAGTATTGCGTAAAATTAAAAAGAACTAAACATGAGTTCGATATTGAACAAATAGTATGTGTACTTCATCTTAAACAGGTGTAAATATATGTGTCAAGTACTCAGTCGCATTAGGCATATTCTTACACAATCCATGGATCAAGATATTTTCTATACTGGTTTGTGTATATCAGTTAAACATCTCTTTATATATCATCGTGAAGTTTATTCTATAAATGGCTTCAATCAAGGACCTTCTTTTTCTTAATACATGAATCAATTGCAATTTTCTTTTTTCAGCCTAGTTTACTAGTAATCTGTTGCGAGTAAACAGATATGCCAATGAGGAGAGAGAGAGCGAAAAAAATTTCTCTTTAGAAAATTGGGTTATTAATATTGAAAAAGAATAACCTTTAAAATAATGAGAATTGATTCTATCTAGGTTTTCAAAAAATTACAGTCTGATAGGTTATTCGTCACGCGCGTCATTAATATCTGGCGGAAATTTAATTGAACTGAAGTTTAGATTTTAATTTATAAAATAAAAATCAATGATTTATCGATTGAAATCAATTGGATCAATTATTTTACCAAGGACGCCATGAAATAGCTGCCTTGATTGATTTTAATCAACAGTTGTATTCTCAAAAGATCGTGCAATAGAAAATTTTTGAGTTTTATTATCATCGGTTAGGTAAATTGTTTATTTATTTTACGACAGCAGGAATATTATTTTTATCTTTAGGAAACCTTACAGATATGAAACGATAATAAAATGAGAGACTTGAGTAAAACGCTAACCGATAGTTTCACAGAACTGAGAAATCTACAAAGTATATTCTTATTGGAATATTATCTTTCCGTAGGCTTGTAATTATTTATTTTCAAATATTGGATGAATAAAATGCTTCTTGACTATGCCGATATCAGTACTGTCTCTCTCTCACACTCAAGATAGAGTCAAATCTTAATCTTTCTTTTTACAAGATATAGGAATTTTAGTTCAAATCCGAGTCCAATAAATTGTCAAATAGGAAGTTTTCTCGCCCGTTCGAGTTATTGAAAATAAATTCTCTATAAAATATAAAAATAGTAAAATCTCTATTATGTTGTAAGTCTCATGTGAATGCTTTAGGCGCTGAAGAAACCTTAGACTAATTAAAATATTCTGCTTAAAAACAAGTCAACCAATCGAAATAATATTTACTTTTTCTAACTGGTGTTGTTGTTGATGATGCTAGTGGCCTTATTGTTGAAAATGGTGAATAATCTATTGAATGGTATACTCCACTCGCCCGTAAATTGGTCATATTAACTGTTGGCTGTTGAATGATGTGTACGTGATGCTAGAAAATGAAATACGAATATCAAGTTTTATTTCACAATGAGAAATGTTCTCACTTCGGAAGTAGTAGATCGCGGTGTGGTATCGCTGAAAGGCTTCGGTTGAAAGCGTAATTGATCAATTGTATTCTCTGCTTGCGCATATTTTTCTAATAATTCTTCATAATTTTCATGTAGTTGATTTAATAATTCTCCTTTCTTTTTTCCAATTCGTTTTTCTTCTTTTAATTTTAATTTCAGAGCATTTGAATTTAAATGATCTGTTTCGGATTCTTCATCATCACTACTCGTTATTCGTTTGCAATCATCTTTTATCGGTGAACGGTGACTCTTCGATCTTGGCACTTTTTTTGAGCTCTTTTCTTGCTGATGCTCACCTGGAGTTACGAAATGAAAAGCACCGGTGCTAGTCATTGATGGAGCTTGTCTAAAAGAAAACGATTTTGTATGAATGTTTAATAATGGACTCTTTCAACCGTTTATTTGTTGTTCGATTTGGACTACGTGATCTCGATTGTGATATTGATTTCGACGTACGAGAAACTTTTGAAGTAGATTTCCGATTTTCTCCATTTGCTGTTTTATTCATAGGAAGAGTTGATGTTTTTATTGGTGACTGAATTATATTAGTTTGAGTTCGAGTTTTCGATGGTGAAATTTTCTTATCAGTTGTTGGCTTAGAACGAGTTTGTTCAGTATTTTCATCTAGTTCATCAGGTGAAATCATATTCATGATGTCTGTAACTGTATTGAGAGATTTAGTTTTGCCCGGTGAAAGCTAAACAAAGGAGAATGGTAGGTCTTTGTACAATAAAATACTACAAAGATGAATTCATTTATCTGATATGACTTTGACAATAGTAAAACTGATATTGGCTCAGTTGAAATCATCTCCGTAACAGACGTTTCAATACGAAAAAAACTCAAAAAAATTTCGATCTTAGAGATTATTCAGAGTGATTCACATGAGAAGAAAACTTTGCAAAGTTTGAAAAATAGCTCATAGAGAAAAATTCAAATGATACTCAATCCTCAGTGTTCCCCATAAAAATAAAGTTTCAGTTTTCACTAGCGAACAATATATTTTACATTTTTCCTGTAGGAGTTTTTTTTACACCCTTCGCCGCACCCCTGAAAAAACTTGTCTGACATGAAGTTCTCTATCTGTAAATAGAAAATCTTCCCATTGTATAAAATATCCTTGACATTTGCAAACTTGCACAATAGTGTGATGTTCTATTCTTGGAATAACAACAGGAGAGAGTGAGAGAGTATTGTCAGACAAATATTTACTTAAAAAATCATAGAACATCTTGTTGTTTCAATATTTTCATACATAGCGACCTAAACAAATGCATTCACTTACAACTTGATGTTGATTTGAATTTAAAAATTCTGTTTCATCTTGTTCTGCTTCCAATAATATTGCTTCACCTTGACTAGCTGATTGTATAACTTTACTTTCATTTGTTGGCTGTGTTTTTATCCAATTATCATCAAATACAATAACTTGTCGATTCACAGTAATAATTCGTTCATTGTCACAAGGACTATCATCAGTGCGATCTGAAGAATGTTCTAGCCTGCCGTTATCATATGCGTTTCGTTTTGCACTGTTATTCGTTTGCGAAACGTTCTGTGAATTTGAGTTTGAACTCAAATATTGTAAAATTGACGATGACGATGACATACAAGAGTAATCGAATTGAACTACTGTAGTGTATAGATTGATTCCATATTTCTTCAATAAAAAAATGAAACAAAATGAATAAAAGAACAGTTCATTGTTCTCTTTTCTCAAACGAATGTTTTACAATGAACAACAGCTTTTCGAAGTGCAAGAAACTAACAACGCTTGATCCTTTTTCTTTTGTTTGATTTTCATTTTAGAAGAAAATGAATGAAGCATTTCTTTACACTTTGCACATGAAACTCGTTTTTTTTCTGTTGCATGTAAAAACTAACGAGTCTTATATATTTCAAGAGAAAAAACATTTTTTTTTGAATATTTAAATTAACAAAAATTCGTTGTCTAGGCGAAAATTTACAGTGGCTAAATATAATTGGATCCAACTGCCTAATGAGAGAACTTCTAGGAGAATTTAGGCTGCTTAATCTCTCCTACCTTCTTGGTTACCCTACTAAGTCATTCAAACAAGAAAAATCATAGTTCAGTTTCAATGCATGATACAAACCAATGTTAAGAATAGATTTAATTCATGTTGAGTTTTAAATAGCTTACATAAAAAATAAAATACGCAAAAGAATAATAATGAAGAAAAATATTTTTACCTCTCAATAAATTTAAATTTCTATTCTATTTTTCATACAAATTATGCATTGTTTTTGCATTGCTAAGGATTCAACGTTGATTCAAATCTCAATCTAGCAAAACTTAAATATCCAGTCGTTACATTGAAGAAACAATATTATGTAAGAAAATCAGAGGAGAATTCGCGATATTTTAAAAACTCACGCCACCGTCATCGCCTGTTGGCTACTTTTCTTAGTACATCTGTAAAGACAAAAAACAATATTTATTCATTCCTAATTATAAATCCAGTATCGAAAATGAATCATTGATTTTGTCTCGGTTATAATATTTTCAACACGAGATAGAATTGCCGGTTTACATTTTTCATCAAACACGAGCGCCATCTTCACTTTCCTATTGACAATTGGTCAAATAGTTTTTAAGAAAGTTTCTTCGATTTTTCGAAGATAATATTTTTTTATTAAGAACTAAAACCTATTTCTACTACAATATTTCAAATGAGTATGAAGAAACAACTTCCAAATATCATCATATGTGGAACACCTGGTATATATTATTTGTTTTCGTATACATATATGCTATCTCTTATTCATATCTTATAGGTGTAGGTAAATCTGATCTGGGCCAGCAGTTACGTTCATCGAATAAATCACTTAAATATATAAATATAAATGATCTAGCTAAACAGAATAAATTCACTGTTGAATATGATGAAGAAAATCAATGTGAGATTCTCGATGATGATGCTATTAATGATTATCTTGATGAAAAATATTTTCAAAAATTAACTCCATCCGGTCTCGTTATTGATTATCATAGCGCAGGTATAATACCTGATAATAATCAGATACATGGTATATTTGTTTTACGGTGTAATGGTGATAAATTAAATGAACGATTGAAAACTCGAAATTATTCAGAGAAAAAAATTGAACAAATCATTCAATCGGAAAATTTTCAAGTATGTCTTCATGAAGCTTGTGAAGTTTTCGATGAATCGATGGTTCATGAACTTGCCAATGAAACCGAAAGTGATGCAAAAAAGAACCTCCAATATTTATTAAATTGGATTGATCGATGGCCATTAACTGATAATATGGATTAGCTTTTTGTTGTTGTTTTGAGTTACTCTTTATTTGTTGCTGACGAAAAAAAACCTAAAGATTTTTATAGGAAAATATATCTATTAGATTGTTTATAGCGAAATTTTTATCGTCGATGATTAACTATGTCTTATTGATTCATGTACTTGAAAGTAGGGGTGGTACGTTTACGTTGATTTAAAATTAACGTTAACTAAAACCGTTAATTAACTCGCATTAAATTAAATGGTCTACTCCTACTTGAAAGAAAACGCATTAATCGTTTCTTTTATCAAACCTACATCCTATGCATGTCGAATACGTGCTTAGAATATACAGTAAAGTAGAGTCCTGTAAGGGTATGAATTTAGTTACCCTACCCTACCCTACGAGAGTTATACGTGAAATATTTCATCATTTCATAAATAAATGATGAAATAAAATTTTGCAAAGATCAAGAATGTATACAAAGAATATCACAGCCCAAGCTATTCCCGATTGAGTGTGTAAACGTGTTTTTCCAAAAGTTTGTCTGCTTGGGAGCTAATATGATAATCAGAAAGATACTATTACATGGACCACGAATATTATCAACAATGCAAAAACAAGAAAAGCAGTGCTAATCTCCCTACGCATTAGAACACATCTGGCTTTTATTATGTCAAAGCGTGGAAAGTTTTCAGAGTCTGCTATTGTGCCCCATTTATTACCACTATTTTTCATTCAAAAGATTCTTAAAATAAACAAGAAGCTATTTTGAGTATTGTTCTAAAATTCTCAACTAAAAACACTGAAAACTAGTCATACTTTGATACAAATAGACTAATGAAAGTTCCAATTTTTCGAGACGTTAATTCATTAAGGTGGCTCATTTAGTATCACCGTCGCACCATTTCTTCAAGGAGATATTCTATTACGGGTAGGTCTTCTAGTATATGAGATTCTTCTATTGCAGGAAGGCATTTACATCAACCAAGAATATTAAAAACAATATCGACAAAGGGATAATAAAGACATGGACAGCTGCTGTCATTTATTATTGAATAACACGTAGTAATCTCTTTCTTCGATTTTCTTTTAATAGTAATACTTATCTCTTGAGAAACACGCCTTTGCCAAAGGTTCTCAAGGCAAAGCTGCAACAAACTTTATTCAGCAATTAGTAGTTCAGAGGACATCAAACTTTTTCATATGCGCAGAAAATGTCAAATCAAAAGAATTCGACTAGTAGTTTAATCTCGTAGCCAAAGTTCTAGCGTACTATTGTGTCGAATGTTGTGTTCTGCTAACTGCCGCTGATCTTGAAGTTCACTTCCAGCAAAAATCAGTTTTTGTTCATTGACTGGAATGTGTCCTCGTTGACTAAGTTTCAATTTAACATTTTTAATGGTATCACTTGATCGCACGACCAATGTAATAATTTCTCCAGTCAACTTTTTGACATAGACCTGAATGATTTCGGGAATAATGAGTTCCAATGTGCTTTCATGTCCAATATTGTAGTCTGACAAGGTTCGATCATCTTCAAGTTCAATGTTAGCAAAAAGCAGATGTTTTTTATGTCCTGCAATTTTAATTTTCTTTTTTACGTCTTCGATGAAGTCACTCGGACGCACTGTCAATGTAATTATTTTTCCAATCTGTCTTTTGACATAGATTTGTACTTCGTCAGGGATAAACAAATGTAATTTACTTTTATGTTTAATACGGTAGTCTAATAAGGTTTTATCATCGTCAAGTTGTTTGCCATCAAAAACTAATTTTTGATCTTCAGCTCTGATGTGTTGTATATCTGTAATGTTCCTTTTGACGCTTTTAATAGTATCACTCGGATCTGCTTGCAATGTCAAAGTTTTGACAGTCGGTGTTTCGACAAAAATTTGCATAGATCCAGAACCTAGATGAAATAGAAACACTGTATTGTCGAAATCTATATCGTAGTCCGATACAATTCGACGATTTTCAAGTAATTTCCCTTGAAATACCAATCGCTGCTGGTACAATGGAATACCTTCTTGGCGTTCAATTATTGATTTGACTTCTTCGATAGTAGTAAACCCCGGGCTCATCATCAATTCAATATTTCTTCCACTTGGTAATTTAACATGAAATGATACGCAACCAGCACCTCCAATGACGAAACAAATTGTGGTTCCCTTTTGAATATTGTAATATGATAAAGTTTGATCATTGTGAAGTGTTTTACCGGCCAATATCAATTTTTGTTGCCTTAAAGCAATCGATATGTCATGCTCAATCTTTGCTTTGATATATGCAACTGTATCACTCGGCTCCAGTTCATATATAAAAACTGTGCCAGTCAGTGTTTTGAAAAATATGAGCATGCCTTCAGAGCGTCGGATCACGAGATGCATGGTGCTCTCCTTTTCAATTTTATAGTCCGATAAGGTTCTACTACTTTCAAGTTCTTCACCTTTACAAACCAATCTCTGTTGATCAGCCGGAATACCTTCTTCATCTTGTAGTTTCGTTTTGACATGTTCGATAGTATCTCTCGGGTTTACTTCCAATGTAATAGCTGGCGACCAACCATATTTGACAAAGATTTGCATGCCTCCACAAAGGGGATAAACACTATGTAGTATTGCTCCTGCCTGCACATGATAATCATTTAGGGTGTATTGATCTAACAAATGCTTTCCAGCAAAAAGTAGTCTTGCTGGTTCAGTTGAACATTTTTTAATATCTCTGATTTTTTTCTTGATGCTTTCGATCGTTTCAGATAATTCAGTTTTAATCATCAATATTTCACCTGTCAGCATTTTTACATAGATAACATTGAAGTCATTGTCAATAGAACGATCATGTTCGATTATTGTGTAATTCATTTCCAGTATCCTAAAAGATGAGTAGTTGAGACTTACTGAAACGATGACACGTGTATGATAAAAAAAATGTCATTCTAGTTGGATATGTTATTATTCATTAGCAAATTATGTTATACGGTGTGGGTGTTTGTTAGTTGGAAGACGGGGAGGGATGATGAATAAAGACATGATAAAAGTCCGCACTCGAATCCTGAGATGATGCTAGAAAGTAAGTCAGCTAGAGGCCTTAGGAGCAGACATTTAACAATGTATTTGCCAACAAAAAAGTCAGCTCATAGTTTTGGTTTTATGATTATCTTGATGCTTTCTAATAACTCAATCATATTTGCACTATGCCCATGACTTTTAAATAATCTTGATATGCTTCTGAAACAATTCTATGCTGGGGTATTTACCCGAATGAAATAATCGTAGCCGAAATTGCCGTGAAAACTTTAATAACGCGTTGTTGTCTGTTTTAAATGATGCGGTATATGCAAACTATTTGTTTTCAGCACTCGAATGAGTCGTTTACTACGTTGGAAGACTCCAACATTTGACTTATCTTACCTTTCTTTTTTCCTGTTTTGTTTTTTCATTTAAATAGCTTCTAAAATAAACTTGGTGAAAGGTGGTTGCACCTGTCAAAATGAAGACATTAAAGTGATGGGTGCTCCAGCCCGTAATAAACCCAAATCCCATTCACACACGCTCACACCCTCAAATATTGCTATTTTCAAACATATAAGCCTACTTGTATCGTTCGTTTTTTTGCTTTGTTTAGTTAATTCACTTCTCTTTGATAGAAATAAAATTAGTATCTCATTCCATTCGCAACAATCAGATCAAGCAAAATTTATCAGAGTATGGGCATGTGCGTGTGAATAAAACAAATATTGACATTCACACGCTTTAGTCTCGTCTCGTTTGTAATAGTTAAGAGCAGTCAATTCGGAATCATCATCGTCGGTAAGAATCTCTTGTTCTTGTTGGTTAGCACTGTAATTATCGATTGGAGCGAATGGAGTAGTCTGACACAAACACTTAACTAGGATAGATCGTCATCACAAAAATAATACCCACAGCGTTTGGATACTTGCGCAGTATACGCTGAATTAATCTCATGGCTATGCGTGCTTTTTTACTAGTAGACAAGAAGTTGTTGAACGAAAGAAGTCCAACTTTTGTATCGAGTAAAAGCTCAAAATCTTGTTGCGAAAAAGTTTGCACACGATAAACAACAAATTCTTCCATGGTGTGCATTCAATAGTTCGTTGTGCAGTTGTTCTAATGCTCGATGAAGATCACGAATGAAAACGTCCACCTTGATCATGGCATCAATATCGAGTGACCGTAATATTTAGTTCAACATACCATACAGAAAACACTCACTAGTATATCTTTTTGAAAGTATTCTCATTGAGATTCAGGCACACGTTTTTTATGATAGTATGCGACCAATCCTTTATCATATTCGTTGATTTCTAATAGGATCTCTTTAAATAATGTCGAAGACATGAATGTAGGTTCCAATCGATCAACAATTTGTTGATCCGATGCGTCCGATACCACCCGCTTTGGAACTCAGCTTATCGGTAGTGTATCATGGACGACTTGGCAGAGAACCTCATATAATGGTTCACAGATGTCGCTGATTTTAATGTAGATACCTTGAATTTTCGGCCATTGTTTCGCCCATTCGTTGCCTTGAACGTCTTTTCTGTAAAGTATATGAATACTGTCGAGGTGTGTCATATCACGAATAATAGGTACTATCTCTTGGCCTATAACACTGTTTGCGATGAGGATCACCGTTGTGTCATCAACGTCTAGGAGGAAGTCAAGGCATTCATCCGATTCGGTGAAGGTCTTGACATTATGAACAACATCATGTAATAGTTCGTTAGAGCGTATTTTGACTATCTTGATAGATTTCATTAGTATTACTTTTGATCCAGATGAGTAAATAATTTTGAACAATGTGTCATCTAGTTCTTATGATACTTTGTATAGGTGTTTTAACTGCATTAATATCCGAAGAAAAAATAGTTTCTTTTTTAGTATATTATCGATATAGTACAATCAGTTCTTGTCATTAAATTTATTCTAACAACTTCTTTGAAAAATACATTCAGTATATTATATGATTCATACCCGAAACAAAGATTTGATGATATTGTGAAAAATTGTATTTCTTTCAACTTTTGAAGATAAGAGAAAATATCAATAGCGTCTTCCATCATACTCTTATCTTAGTTCGTAAAATGTTTACCTATCAGCCACAACCAACCAATCACATGGAATAGTCTTGCTGTATATCTTTCCGATGCTATATCCTTCAATAAGAAGTACTTTAATTTCATAGTTTATCAAAAACTCTAACCACGCTCATTCTCGAAAAAATCTCGAAGTTTTAAAATGAAATATAAATATTGTCAGGATCTTCTAATTATGGTATGCGTGTAATAAAGAAATGAATAAATATTGATTGAGTAGAACAATAAAAACACCCGTGAAGTTCAGAGACAATGGATTTGTTAACGATCGTATTATTTGTTTTCCACGGTTTCGCGGCGATCGATTTTTTTTCTCTCTCAACTATTTTGCCAATAGATTTTTATCTGACTAACTTCATAAAAAAATATTACTCCCCTTCCACAACAAAGATTTTCACTAGTAAAATATGTTCGTTAATTCTAATTATCGCATAGTCGAACGATTATTTCTAGATACAACATAAATTCAATTGAGTCTTGGAAATGATTACTTAGAAACAATAGCCTATCGATCAATAATAAATTGAAATTTCTTGGAAAACTTCCGATAACAACAAATAAAGATCGCAAAAGAGTTCTGCATCAGAATTTTTGATTACTTCACACATCAACATATTCATGAACTCGCGATGTACTTTTTTATTGATTCAGTTTGTGCCCGAGATGCGCTCATATTTAGTTAAATACACAGTTGCTTGATTAACATGTAGATGAAGGCCGTCAAACTCTAGTGCCGAAAAAGTAAATAAAAACAAAGAAAAGTTTTGAAGAAGAATTCATGTATTTCATTTCACTACTTGCCTCGATTCAATTTGGTGTAAAACTTTGATTGAACCACATTTTTTGCATCATTTGGGAGTATAGAAATTCACAGATATTTACAAGAAAAATGCCATCGATTTATAGCATCACTTTCTGGCTGATCTTTGTGCAAACTATCAACACAATAACAGGTAAGCAATGAGTATCGATCAGAGTTTTATTTTTATGTTAAGCTCAATAATGAATATAATTTCTGTAATCACGCAAGCAAATTATATCTCGTTATTGTCTAACAATGTTTAATAAACAGTAGAGTAGAATTCACAGTTAGTTCTTGTTCTATTCAAATTTATAATAAGAGCGATGTGTATCCGTAAGAACGGTAAAACTGTATCGTTTCTTAATTTTCTTTATATTATAAATAAACGAAAAAGATCTATTTTTAGACATTTAATTTCAGTCAATTAACATCATTTTCTGTTATAGCCATATCGTTTAATCGACCGAAATTGTGTTCACTTGCAGTGTGGAACTCATTTGGAAGTACTTTTGCAGGCCAGAATCTCGCAGGTGTTGCACCTCTTGCTGTTTTTGTTAATGCTAACAATACTGTTTACTTGGCTAATATACAATACAGTACTATTGAAGTGTGGTATCAAGGATCTGGTTCTCCAATAAATATATTTGTTGGTGCTACCCTACCGTACAGTATTTTTGTTACTATGGCTGATGATATATATACTGGTACTGGTGACATCAGTGTCGATAAATGGGTATTGAATAATACAAATAATCCATTCACTTTAAATGTCAGTGAACCGTGTTTCTATGTTTTTATTGACACTAATAATTCCTTACATTGTTCGTTGTCCGCGTCTCATCAAGTCATCAAGCGATCACTGAATAGCAGTGATAACAATGTACTGGTTGTTGCAGGTACAGGTTGTCCGGGATTTATGCTTGACATGCTCGATTACCCTCTAGGAATATTTATTGATGATAATTTCAATGTATACGTAGCAGATTCTAATAATAACAGAATTCAGTTATTTCAACCAGGAGAATTAAACGGCACAATAATGGCAGGAAATGGGGCACCTGAAACAGTTATACTTAATTATCCTACAGATGTTGTACTTGATGCTGATGGTTATTTATTCATAGTAGACAGTGGCAACAATCGCATAGTTGGATCTGGACCCAATGGTTTTCGATGCATAGTTGGCTGTTCAGGCGCATCGGGTTCTGGGCCAACTCAATTAAATGGGCCTCAGAGTATAGCTTTTGATAGTAATGGAAATATTTATGTTACTGATACTCAGAATAATCGTGTTCAAAATTTTGTTTTGATTAATAATCCATGCAGTGAGTGTAATTTTTTGTACGTGTATCTTGAATCGGCAATATTTAGATTGGTCATCATTTATTTCTTAATTTAAAATATTCTTTTTCAAAGATTCATTTTTCTGCCATCGGCACTTGATTAAAAGATTACTATTCTCGAGTAAAAGCAATATTATTAATCAGATTAATATATATAGCCTTCGAAATCATTCAGTATATAGTTTTGACTCAGTTGGGTAGATAAAGTGCATTCAGTCAAAAGCTATTGTTTATCTTTTATGTCAGTACGTGATTCTGACTAAGAAACAATATATAATGAGATCAATTTGATTTAATTATGCTTTCTTTATTATAGATCTGACGACGACGACAACAGCAACGACCACTACGAGTAATAGAATTTTGATGTCATCTTATATTTATTTGAGCATTTTTTTTGATTTGTAGTGAGCAACATGACAACTACTCTTCAATTCAATTCTTCTCAAGCGACCACCACTTCAATGGGAAATATTACATTGATATCCAATCGACTAAGTATGCTGATATTATGTATAATTGAGTTCAAATGTTTTGATCACCAACTCAGAGATGTCATAATATCCTAACACTGGGTATCGTCGACATACCAGTCACGATATCCATTCAATTGGATATCTAGAATGGATACTAAAATGAATACCCATGTTCCTCATAGCTGAGGAATTTGAGTGCATTTGGTGTAACGAGAATAGGTATCCATTTTTGTATATCCCCATGTTCCTCATAGCTGAGGAATNTACCCATTCTCGTTACACCAAATGCACTCAAATTCCTCAGCTCTGGGGATACGTAGATGTCCATCCAACTGGGTATCCTATCTGGGTATTCATCTCGATACCCAAGTTGTGGATATTATGACACCCCTCGCTCAAAGAGAATCTGCTAAAGAAAAACGAAACAATAATAACGTTTCTATTTGTATGATTTTAGTGTTACTACGTAGTTTTATTACAGCCAACCTATCGTGGTATATCGATTAGTTTTGTTGAATATTCCACTGTACTATAGGAATGCAGACTGAAATACGAATAAACCTGTTCTTTCGGGAATAGAAACATTGATTCCAATTCATGAATTTAACTAAATAAGTTGTGCCCTCGCTATCATCTTTGATGTTGGTTCAGTATTGCTCTACCAAAGTTTTTGATTTTTGTTTATTTATGTAGACGTTTCTTATAATCAACCAAAACTTTGTCCACTTGCTACATGGGATTCTGCTGGAATAACCATCGTGACTGCAACCACAATTGGTTCAGACCCGCTTACTCTTTTTGTTACTACCAATAATACAATTTATGTTGCTGATTTTTTCTCAGATCATATTTATGTGTTTCTTGCTTCAAGTGGCAATCTATTGAGAACAATTTCGGGTGGTCCCATTTATCCATACAGTACTTTCGTCACAAGTTCTGGTGATATTTATGCGGACAGTGGCAATTCTTCTCGTCAAGTTCTTAGATTTTCGTTAAATACGAATACCACTATCCCTATAATGTATATTACTGACAATTGTTTGGATGTTTTTGTTGATATCAATAATACAATATACTGTTCTGTGGGAACATATAATGTTATTGTTGCAAACTCAATAGTTGATCCAACACGCGAATTTAAACTTATTGCTGGCGTTGGTTGTCCGGGATCTCTACCTCACATGCTCTATTACCCTAGAGGAATATTTGTTGACACCAATTTTGACTTGTACGTAGCAGATGCTAATAACAACAGGATTCAGTTATTTCAGCCAGGAAAAATAAACGGAACAACTGTTGCAGGAAATGGATCCTCTGTGGCATTTGCACTTTATTTTCCTGGAGACGTTGTACTTGATGCTGATGGCTATTTATTCATAGTAGATAGTGGAAATAGCCGTATTGTTAGATCCGGACCATATGGCTTTCAGTGTATTATTGGTTGTTTAGCGGGATGGGGTTCTGGATCAAATCAATTGAATAATCCTTATCGCATGGCTTTTGATAGCTACGGAAATATTTTTGTTACTGATCCCGTGAATAATCGTCTTCAAAAGTTTTATTTGAATACCAGTTCTTGTGGTAAGTATTTTCGAATCTCATAAAAGAGAATAACAATATGTAGCTTCTTTCATTTTCTTAAATTTTATTCCTTATTCTGCAATAGGATTGTTAAAATGTCAAAGCTAATTTTCAGAAAAAAAATAAAGAAATATGTTTGTCCTACACTGATTCTCATTATTTTTTGTTTTTGTAATGTACTTGAGTTCACAAAATAAAGTGAAATCGATCATCGAACTAACAGGAACAAGAAAGAGGCTTAACATTTTCAAGAGTAGTCTAAATTATTCTTTGAAATTTGAAATGATTGAGACATATTGTGTCACAGATGTCAGAGATCATCAGAAGCAATATATTATTTTATCAAAATTAAACAAAAAAGTCTCATCACGATGTAAGACTTTAAAATAGTCAATGTTTCCGAATGTATCAAAATATATAGTTCATTATTTAGATCTTCCGTAGACATAAATTACCTGAAAAACGCGTGAGAATTTGTGTAGATATTTTCCTCATCCAAAAGCGAAAGTGAAGTGAGTTGTATTTATGATGTTTATGGGATTCGGTTTTTAATAAATACATAATAGCCAATATAATTTTTTTTATAACTAGATATAGCAACAACCGAAGTGACACAACCTACAACACAATATACACAAGGTTTGCAAATACCAATTTCGCCAAGAATTTACAAAATAAATATATATGTATTTTAGAAGATTCGACATTAATAGTGACAAGTACTAGATCAAGTACATCAAGTAATCTTCCACAAAGTAGAATTAGTAGTTTTAATTATGAATAGAAATCGTATAAGAATTCATGTTGAATTTAGAATGTTATCAACCTATCATAACATTAACTCCTGCGAATTCATCTCTATCATCACCATTACGATATAAACGAAGTGAAGCTTTCTCTATTATTTCATATATTCAATTAAATTGCAGTAACTCGCTCATCAAAAATGTTCAATGGAGAATTAGTCTTTGTGCATCATCAGTTTGTTCATCTCAAATTCTATTAGGATCAACGATAATTACAACACTCAGTGAACTTTATATTCCAGAACAAACACTTGATTATGGGACTTATCAGTTTACATTAACTGTTAGAATGGTTGCTGCATCTCAATTATCTTCATCGATGTCTGCTTATGTACAAATAATTCCATCGAATATTGTTGTAAATCTTATTCGTTTCGGAACAACAATGATTAAACAAGGATATCAACAAGATCTTATTCTTGATCCAGGAAGTTATTCAATTGATCCTGATAGAATTACATTTAATGCCAGTGTAATAATTCACATGTGCCCAAATTCTAATTGTTTCAGTTTGTTTGACCTTTCTAGAATTGGAACTATGAATATTATTGTCGAATTTATCCCAACTACAACTTTCCAAGTCTTTTAGGAATCGATTTATCTCTTGATGATCCAAGAATTCAACAATTTAATTCATCTTGTTTATCAAATCAATCAGGTATTTATAATAATTATTATCTTCTATTTTATTTGCATCTATATTCAATAGGATTAACATATGTTGGTGTGACTAATTCACCAAAATCTTCATTGATTATTCTTGGAAACTCATTAATACCAAATCAAACTTATCAATTTAAAGTTAAAGTGCAAAACCTTCAAAATTCGTCTGTTCAAGATTTTGATTATCTTTTCGTAGAAGTACAAGGAAATCAGTATCAATTGATTGTGATGGGGTCTGTAAAACCTTGAGTAAAAACAGATATCAGCGTATATGACTAATTTGAATTTAGATGTGTTATTTCAACATTATGTGCTGAAAATGTCGAATATCAATATGTGAATCCAACAACACAAGTTGCTCTTTTTTCTACTTGTGCTGATATTTGTCAATTTATAAATAATATAACGTGGAATATTTATCAAGGTGTAATGAATACAACATCGAATGTGGTTCAATGGACAGCATTTCAGAACATGAAACAATATGAAAATATTTGGTTCTTCGGTAAATTTTTATTCTAGAATTTATCAATCTTTTTGTCTAGAGTTTTTATTTAAAAAAAACATCCAGCACAACTTTTTATTTTTATTATCCTAGGTTCAAACACAGCTAATTTCACTGCCAAAAATAATCTATTCGTTTCGAACGCGCTGATTAATTATTGGCGTTTTGAAGTTGTTTATTCATCTTCATTACAAAATGGTTCAAGTACAATTGATTTCGAAATAAATCAATCCCCGCAAAATGGTTCCTGTTCAATTAGTCCTCAAAATGGTACAACAACTACTCTATTCAATATTTCATGTTCGAATTGGCAGGATTCAGATGGAGTTCAAGGTTATTCATTTCAAAGTATATTTCACTTTTTTCTGACAGATAAACAAATGATTTTCTATTCTTATAAAATTGCAGGTTGGACAATAGATTATACACAACAAATGATTATTGCTTATTCATCCGTCTCCACTGTACAAGTTCGATTGCCAGCAGGAGCCGATAATACTTCTTTGCTTCATATCGTTGTTCGCATTCGTGATACACTGAATTGTATTACAGAATACAATCTTTCATCTGTCATAGTTCTAGCAGACTCTGAACTCATCAATAGCTTGATAAATAATCTACAAACATCTACAACTAACCTATCAAACCATCCGCTCGTACAAGTACTTAATAGTGGTAATCAAAATGCAATTAGTCAGGTTATAAATTCTCTTTCACAAAAATTTAATCAAATAAATCTCGAATCCATTCAATTGATTGTCGCAAGTAAATCGATCATTCGATTAATTTAGAATCTTTGCTTTCAACACCATCATATTTATTTTAGACGGTATTCCAACATCGAATATTGCTGTTTCATCCTTGGATAGTCAAAATCAACCAGGGGTAAGCTCCTTTCATGGTGATAGAATATCATATATGCCTTTTAATTCATCACATGAATATCTCTTCGCTCCATATATTGAAATATATTCGTTTTTCCTAATCAATCAGAGATAATGATGCTATTCCCATATAAAAAAAAAACAATTTATTTCATTTTCATTCAATAGTCTTCTACGTCTTTCAATGCATCGGTTTTGACTGAATATAATGAACAACTGAATATTTATGCTAATGTACGAGATTATCTGATAACATTTACAACAGATCTTATTCCGACAAATGCTGATAGTATTGCACTGCAAGCAACAGCATTAGCACAATTAACTCAATCGCCAAATCAATTGACACGAACAGCTTCAGTAAGAATTATTCTTGTTATTGAAAAAGATTTTGTTATTCTCCGTATAGATGCTTGGATCAGCAAAATGTTATCAATTAGCTTCTACTCTATCGTCAATAGCAACGAGTGTTCCATATGAAGATGTTCAAACAGCAGCAACACAAATTGCACAGTGCACCACTAATGTTCTCACTGTAAGATGAATTTTTCTTTGAATAATATTCAATGTTGAATTATTAAGAAACGTACGAAATTTTACTTCAATATATTAGTCAATCGCATATTTCTCTCTTTTGAAAAGTGCAATATGTAAACAACAAGTTTCACACCACACATATTCTTCTAGAATAAATCTGAATGACCAGAATTTCTTATTCTTCTTCCCATCCTTATCACAATGGTTCTGTAGGTTTTACCTGTGTGATTTATTGTTATTTTAGGCGATCAATGGACCATTACAACAACGAACAAATGTACTTGATCTAGATTTTTCTCGTGCAAACACTTTGCCGAGTGATTATGATACAGATTTGGAATTGGATTGGTCGAATCCAAGTATGTTCCTCGCAATATATTCAATATTTAATCTTGTGATTTAGATTTATTTGCTGATGGAAATGATTTTTCATGGGAAACGATTGAAAAGAATCGAAATATTTATTATCAAAAACAAGCGGCCAATGAAATATCTACCGAAGTAGAACAAACGATATCATTAATCAGTTCGGCATTAAATATTCATTTAAATCTTGGTCAAATTTTAACAGTAAATACATCATCAATATTTATGTCAATGGAAACAATATCCGTTGGTTCTCTTTCGAATAAATCAATTGAACAAATAGGAGACGCTCGCATTCAAATGCCATCAAATTTACAATTCAATTCAACAGATTCAAGTTCACTTTCAATTCAAGTAATACTTCGCTGCTTCTTTCTTTTGCTGTATTTCCTTTATTCTGTGTTTAGTCAATCATGCAACCACTGGCTTCATATGGGAATTCTCAATCTGATTTGAAAACCAATCTCTCGCGATCAATGTCACTTTCAATACTTGATCAGGATAAAAATGAAATTTCTATTCAAACAGATTTTGATAATCCCATCGAAATAATTATTATCCGTGATCCAAATTTTATTTTACCATCCATGACTTTACAAAATGTAACTTCATACGATTCAAATCCTCATAATCAATTATTCGATCTCTATTTTATTAATATCACATCAAATCTCTCGATATCAATTCACTTTGAAATTCACCCATTAAATACTAATCTTAGTTATTTATTTATCTATAAATTTGATAATCCACCTTTATTAAATAGTTCAATCGATCAAATTGATGGTTGGATTGTATTTTGTCCTTCAAGTGAGACATTTTTTGTAATATTATTATAATTGATCATAGATTTAATTTAGATTTAACCAACGAAAGTATTTATGCATATTTTATTGATAATCAAAAGACAATGAGCCATAGATCATTGATATATGGTTTACGAGAATTAAACTCAACAGAATTCACAAGCTTTTGTTTGAATTCTTTACAAACTAGTCCACCGATTACTAATCAACGATTTATTTTTACATCGGATTATGAGCATCGAGTTTATACATCAGCTTGTTATTATCTTGATGCGAACAATAATTGGCAGTCGGATGGATTATTGGTAAATAAATTTTAATCTCAAAGGATTTATTACTTTTATTATTCAGGTTGGACCTTCGACTAATCATTATCAAACTCAATGTTTATCAACTCATTTGACGACGTTTGCTAGTGGTTTTATTGTTTTACCAGCACCTGTCAACTGGAATTATGTATTCGCTAATGCTGATTTTGCTCGAAATAAAACTGTTTATATAACTTTAATTTGTGTATTGGTCTTATACATTTTATTTATTATTTTTGCACGCTATAAAGATAAGAAAGATCTTGAAAGATTAGGAGTAACACCATTACCAGATAATCATAACTTCGATCAATATTTTTATCAAATTCTTGTTTTTACTGGTCATCGAAGAAATGCTGGAACAAAATCAAGAGTAAAAACTCCATCGAATCAAAAATGTTTTCCAATTGCTTTCTCAAATAGGTTCATTTTATAGTTGCGGGTGACAACGATGAAACACAAATTCGAACATTTGCTGATCCACAACGAAAAATATTACAACGTGGTGGAATCGACGCATTTATTATGGCAGTTCCAAAGTAAAATTCGTTTTTTCCTAATCAATTCAGAACGAAACGAAATCTTTATTTAAGATCATTGGGTTCTTTGAGTTATATTCATATTTGGCATGACAATACAGGTGAAGGTGAATCTGCATCATGGTTCCTTAAATATATTATCGTGCGAGATTTACAAACAACGGAGAAGTTTCATTTCATTTGCCAAAAATGGTTCGCTGTTGAAAAGGGAGATGGAGCTGTAAGTCCTACTCTAATTGTATTTTCATTAATAAAGAAAATAAATTGAACTGTTGTTTTTAGATTGACTATGTTTTACCAGTAGCTGGTGAATATCAAAAACAAGAATTTTCATATGTTTTATCAAAACAAGCCTATCATAGTGTATCCGATGATCATCTGTGGTTTTCCATCTTTTCTCGACCATCATCAAATAAATTTACACGCGTTCAAAGATGCACATGTTGTTTTGTTTTATTATTAACAGCAATGTTTTTGAATATTCTTTATTATGACCAATCGAACGATGCTGAAACAAATACGAGTACTCGTAGTCTTTCCTTAGGTCCGCTTTATATTAGTCCAGAACAAGTTTGTTTAATCATTTAAATTTATCTGTATAATACTCTTGTAAATATTTAGATTGGCATCGGTATTATAGTAGAAGTTCTTACGTTTGTTCCAAGCTTATTACTTGTTCAATTCTTTCGACGAATACAATCTCGGCGTGCTCATCAAATATCTCCATTACGTGCAGCAATGTATAAAATAAAACAGGAACCAATACCATCGTAAGTATATCAATTATATGAACATTTTCATCACCGAACACATGTTTGAGTCGATGAATGTACGATCCAAATATAGATCTCATATATTTATTTTCAAAGTGAAACGACTGTGAAATCTTCTGATGAAAAGAAATCATTTCGACTGTTGTTTCCTTGGTGGTGTTTGTTCATCGCTTATGGTTTATCATTCATTGTTGCTGCGATTTCAATATTCTTCATTATTGTTCGTGGCATTGAATTTGGTGATTTAAAAACTCAAAAATGGTTGGCATCACTTTTGAGTGGATTTTTTTCATCCATATTTCTCATTCAACCAATCAAGGTAAATTGAAGCATCTTGAAATTAATATGTTCACTAAAATATATTCTTTCGTTTTTCTTTTAATAGATTATCTTTTTAACATTATTGTTTGCTGTTTTTATGCGAAATACAAATGAAGATGAACAAGCTGCTGAATTTATTGATGACGATAATATTGAATTAAATGATGACGAAGAATATCTTCATTCAATAAAAGTTTGTCTTTCAATTATTCGATCATCTAAAATAGCGTTTCTCATTTTAGGCTGAATCTTCATTTATTTATCGATCTCAAACTGTTGCAAATCGTTTAGATAAAGTAGATATAGCTCGAGCTCGTGATCGACGTTTAAAAGAAATTCAAATGTGGTCAATTATTCGCGAAGTTTTTACTTTCTTCGTTTTTCTTTCACTTCTCTATACAATCACTTATACGAATGTCAACAATAACGCGTTTTATCAAGTTGATCATTTACAGAAATTCTTTCTAAACACAAGACAAATTGACAATGATTATACAAAGGTTAGCATATTTTCTTCATAGAGATAGACCATGTTTCTAAAAGACGATCTATAAAGACTGTTGAAGTACATTTTTGGTAGCATTTGGGCCCCATCTATGACCATTCGCAGATCGTGGTTAAAAATTTTCAAAATCTTCGATTTTCTATTACAAAAGGGATTGTTCTCTATTCATAGATTTCTACAATCAGTGACTATTGGAATTGGTTAGAAAATAGTTTTGTTGAAAATATTCGTGCACAAGAATGGTATAATGGCCAACCACCAAGTAATTTAAGTGGCTATATTAATGATAAATCAAATCGACTGATTGGTTGGGCAACAATGAGGCAATTACGCATTAAACCTGATTCATGTAAAATAGCAAAAGCTGTTCAAAATCTGTTTGCGCATTGTTATGACGATTATAGTTTCTTTAATGAAGAAAAACAATCATTTCAACCTGGATGGACAAACAATCAAACATCATCATCGTTTAATTCAGCGATTAACCAAGCTTTTACTTATCAAACAGGTGATGAATTAAATTCGAGTATTTATGTTGGAAAACATCAAACATATAATAGTGGTGGATATGCATATGAATTTCGTGGTCGACTCAGTGATCTTCAAAGTAATCTATCGGAACTTTATCAATTACAATGGATTGATAGGCAAACAAGAGCTGTGCTTATTCAACTTAGTTTATATAATCCAAATTCACAATTCTTTATTTCATGTAATTTACTTGTAGAATTTTTATCATCAGGATGGATTGAACCACAATCACGTTTTGATCCAATTTCATTTCAAAGTAATATTTTATTTCATTCAAATTTTTAAGCAAGAAAGTCTTTGTTAAATTTTCTTTAGCATTTACATCATTGTTTCAATTGATCTGTTCGATTTTCTATATGATT